ATTCTGATTGTAAATGGCTTTAATTTTCTAAGGATCCCGAATTAATATTAATGACAAATAGATTCAAATGTTAAAATCCTCTTTGTTTAGAATGATATTTTTCATGGAAACAAGCTGCAGTATTTGAAATCTGTGCATCATGCTGGGGATTCCCCCTGATTCTACTTTGTTGTGATTTGTTGTCTGATGTTGGGCCGTTTCCTGCTTCCTACTGCACCAGTACTCTTGACAACCCAAGTGTCCTACTATTGTCCACACCAGACTTGTATATCACGTCACAGTTCTAGCTTCCTGTCAGTGACCGTATCTCCCGATGGACAGTGATGATCTGTTACGTGGCTAGTAGGACCTTTATACTTACATCACACCCACGTAGGGCATTCACGTCACACAGACATACAAGGTAGAGCTATTATGATATTCCTATTATTATGATCTGTACATTGTGTTCCCTGATGTACATCTGTGATATACTGTAATGAACTTGTTTTACATATATTTCAGCTATTTTCCTGTTGTGTTAAAAATTGAACCTCGGGCTATGGTGTTATTGTCAACACTTACTAAATGTTACAAGTTAAGTTTCATTTCAAGGTACTGCTATGAGTATACTTTTTTGTCATTGATTCGTGGGTTATATTGCTACATTACGAGATTATTGAACATAAGAAATGAAAGCATAATGCTTGTTTTGTGATCAAAATGTTTAGTCATAAAGCCTGTCATCTCAGTTTTTGCTCTTTACTAACCCGATCATGTGGATGACATTCCTATAATGTTCGTATGAATAGTTGGTGTTAACAGCCGTGGTATATGATCTTTAGTACATAGCTGTCATATATATCCCTGTGTGTAAGTAGCCAATGTAATAGACACACCCAGGTTTCAGGCCAGAACTGGCTGCTGGCATGTGGCTACAACACACTAGAAAAATCCTGTTGAGAGTTAGTACAGTGACGATCTACCTAGGACGTATGGGAGACAATAGGACGGAGATAGATAATGGGTGAGATGTGTGTATGTAAAATCGGAATGTGTGTTCCAAACTGTCCCGATGTTGAAAATGGAATCAGATATATGTTGGATTAATGTGATAATCATATTTACCATGTGTGGATATGAACCATTACATTTTTGTGGCTATTGGTTATCATTTTTGCCAGTATTTTAATATTTTCATTTACAACTCTATTTTCTGTGTTTGTATAATTAATAATTTGACATTTTACCAGTATTATTTGACATTTTACCAGTATTATTTGAATTTTTAAACCTGGCGCATATCTGTGGATCATAAACTATCAGATGTTATTAAAGAAAATCATTGATTTTAAAAAATAATTTATGGAAGATATTCTTTATTAATAATGATTGTAAATATTGAATGTTGTTGCAACCCTTCTACCACTTTGCTAAGGCTTTAAGTTGCAGAATCAATTGGAGATGTTTTTCGAATTGTTGATTAAAATGCACATTTTGAGACTGGATTGTCACTTTGACAAATTAGAGGGTGCTATGTCTCAACATGAAGCCAGAAGCTGAGAAAGGCTTGAGATCCACTATGCTAAAAATGTATTTTCATGTAGGGTGAAAAAAGTAATTTGTAAGATGCAGACATTATCGATCACAGTTGGGCTGTTTCACCAGTTAAAATCTGTCGTGTTCTTTTAGAGATGGGGAGAGTCTTGGTTGGATGCTAAGCGTGTCATTTGGCCCCTAGGGTAGCGGTAATTAGACTGGAGTAATGGTGGATGAAATACCCATGACTCCATATCGTTGTATTGATTGGTTGCTGTGGCGAGGTAATGACCGTCCGCGAGGAGACCAAGGGGAAAGGTGTGTTAAGATGCTCGTGGTCATTTACCTATCAAGCAATGGGAAGTCCTATTGTGGTCATACTTTAATAGTGCCGCTGTAGCATGTTGTTTTGATTGCGCGCTTGGCACGGGGGCGTTTCGGGATAGTTTTAATGAGGTCGGAGGGAACATGCTGAAGCAGTGAGGAGAATATTGAATGAGTTCCTTCGTAGCTAGACTCGGCATAATTGTGTGATCAAATCAGGAATTAGGTGAGGATTTGGAAGGGAGGTCAGGTGAAAAAGACATCCATCTGACCAGTGTTTTCCAGTCAGTTGGCGTGGAAGATGTGAGCTGTGTGTTCGTGGTGACAGGTAGGCTAATGTAATAGACAGGCTTGTTAATTTTACCTGCTGTCTCAGGTAGGACAGGTGAATCTCGTTGGTGTGTCGGAATGCGAAGTGTGCAAACAGGCAAGTTTATATACACAGCTTCTTGCATAACTCGGCATATACGCGACAGTAGACCAGTTTGACTGTATTTTTAGACATCAATTGGTTTAATTCAGGGATATTTGTTTTACTTGTAACTGATCACTGTTAATATTGTCTTCAAGAGATATTTTGCTAGATCAATTTTGTACTTGTATTTTGTACTTATATCTCAGTTGTGTTCATTATAAAGTATATTGCTGGCAACTTTGCTGATTGGATCATGTGTTTGGGTGATATTTGTGTTAATGTTGTGTTACACAAACCACCTTGTGTTCACATAAGCTCTGCAGCCAATCTATGTCTCACTGCAGCCACTGCCCTACAGTTATAAGTGTTGTTTATAACTACACGTTTATTTTTAACCGAGATATTTTAGGCAGGGCTACTTCCTCCCAGACTTATATTAATGGGCAATGTTATACACTGTGACCTTATCCAAGAGCACTGCTGTTCTGACAAGTCACATCAACATCATATTTACAGTTCCTTCTCCTCCCCCATGTTGTAGGATTGGGCCCAGAGAAATTTAAATGGGCCAGTCCAATTTGTTTCACATTTTAGCAGTTCTCTTTACTGATGTGCCTTGTAGGGGTAGACCACACATTTATCCACATTAAGAATTAAATTTTTTTCAGCAAATTAATTTAGGATCATGTCAAATAGAATAAAAGAGCTTATTAAGGATGATGCGAGACCATGTACCTGGCTTGGGGTAGGTCACCCACAAACCATGATGGATGGATGTTTGACAAGAGAAATCACAGTACTAAAATGTGAATTATATTCATTTTAAGTAATAATGTTTAAATATTAATCTAGAATTAAAGTTCAAACAAGATCAGCAAAAACAACAATTTGGAATGAATTTGTTTTACATGTACAAAATATTTTGGTTGGGCTTCTCTGTGTAGTCATGGCCCCACTTATCTGCCTTATTGTGAACAGACAGTCTGTGTATTAGGTTACATTGGACAAAACTCACAGGTTGGAATCACCATCAAATATGTGTTCAAAGAAAGAATCTGAACTAATATATTGGGGTGTTACAATCATATGTAGTGTATGAGCATTTAGGCAGGACATGCTTAACCTTTTCACGAGCACCTGGTGTCCTCAGGGTTTCAGTGGTCCCTTCACATAGTTTTCATCACATGCTTTTTACACCCAATCGAATCTGTTTCAGAGAATTATCGAGACTGATTATCCTGTGGCATTGACGTTTTATATTTACAACTGACATGGTGCTTTAGGAGTGTAATGACGACATTGTGCGCTATTTCTGTGCAAACCTATACTGTAATCGGTGACCTTAGTCTGTCGTCATTCACTTTGTATGACAGGTGAAATGGAGCACTCGTAGTATTGATATTTACTATTGTCTACAACCAGCCTCTTGACACGGACTATTACTTCATCTGCGTCATTCAGCGTCAGTCTCAGCAAATATAGATTATTTGGATCAATTATTTTCAAGGGGTATTTGTTCCCTAACTACTGTTTCTAACTATGGACTTGCATTAGACCTTCCAGTGAACACAGGCTTGCTAATTATAGCTGAATTATTAATGAGGTTCCGTGGAATCTCGGGGAATCCCTGACTTCAAATGTTTATTGGTTGGCTACACACACTGGTAATTCTGATTTCACAGGTCAAACGATAATCCATTATTTACTCGTGACAACTGCAATAGACAATGTGATGTGTCAATATCGGTATGTCCAGGTGTAGATATGTCACACACTCAGTGATTTATGACTCACAATTTTACCTGTGTCGATAGACTGTCTGTCAATGTGGTATTTCTCTGATGAAATAATTATCTTACACAGGCATTGGTTGTAAACAGTGAAGGAGAGGGTTAGTTGTGTCGTGTGTGAACGATCACTTGCTGGCAGAACCTTTGTTGGCAAGGCACTAGGGGTTAGCACTGTTCTGATGGCAGTTGTGAGATCCGATATGGCAGGCATTATGGGGAGTGTTGTATTTCAGTTGTATTACATTCAGTATCTTGTTCTGTCCCTGTCTTGTGACTGATTAGAAACATCACAGTGGTTTGTGTATACATGTCACATGTTTTAACGGGTGAATAGGAGCGAGTTCATCGCGGATGTGGAGACGTGATTGATGAGTTATATTAATGATTACTAGTAATGAGACAAGAAATAACCTGACATTTCTTTAGATCCATTATGTAAACAGCCATAGATGAAATAACAAAAGTTCAAATGATATTTTACAGTAATTTCACAACAAACCCCTGTCTGATAAAAAAGTCAGTTGAGAAGTTATGGAGGCTTTGCATGCTTTAAGCCCAACCTGAATATTCTTGTATTTAATTAAGATTAGCTCATACAGGTAGAAAATAATTAAAGCCAATCTGTAATGACTAATGACTCGTGTCAGCACTGGTAGGAAGAAGGTGATGTAGATAGTTGGCAAGTACAATCCGCTAGCTTTAAGTAATCTGTAGTACTTACTTCAATCATAATTCTATAATGTTTCAGCCATATTAACTTACAACTGTAATAATCAAAAGTGTTTTATTTTATTTCTTTTGAGACAGTTTGAAGAATACTAATTTTGATGGAATGAGGATGTTTTGGTTTCAGCAGGCGAATGAACGTCACTGGAGGAGCACCTGCTCCATCTGGGGGAGGTGGTGGTGATGGCAACTCAATGTGATCTTTCACACATCTGTCTTGGTTTCAGAGTTGACAGCCGACTTGACTGAGGTACCGGTGCCAAGTCCATCACTTTTTTCTTCTTCCCGGTTCCACATACGGCATAATATTGGCTCAATCAACCAAATCTCCTACTACCAGCATGGGGCGCAAAAAAATCCAGATCTCGCGAATAGGCGATGAACGCAATCGTCAGGTATGTGTCAAGTGTTTTTTATGCTCTTCATCCTTTCTTCAGTCTGTGACTTATTATTTATAAAGATTTTACCTAAATAGTCTTCAAAGAATATAAGAAAGAGAACAACGTGTCATCTGAAAGCTGATGCATCGTGGCAGAGAATATTAAATGGCTCCCTTCAGTGAGTCTGGGCCAAGACGGCCAGGGCACGACACTGGGAGTATGTGAGCAAGGCATGTGATTGTCAGTAATAAAAATATACCTGGATCCATTATATATGGGAGCTTACCATGCTCACATCAGTGTAAAAACATCAGAATATTTACACATGCACATATGATTAAAACAAGCAAGCTTGTTTAAAGTTATAGGTAGGTAGTCAGTAGAACATGTCATCCTGGCATAATAAAAGTTCCAGTGTTGAGTTGAGCCGGTTATATTCACAGATGGGATGTCTAAAAACTACTTTATTAATGTTAGCTATAATGTCACAAATTATTCTCCATATTCTCAACATACTATTACTTAGATGAATTACTGTATGACGTACTAGTGAGTGAGTGGGTTTAGTTTTACGCCGCACTCAGCAATAATCCAGCTATATGGCGGCGGCCTGTAAATAATCCAGTCTGGACCAGACAATCCAGTGATCAACAGCATGAGCATCTATCTGCACAATATTGGGAACTGATGAAATGTGTCAACCAAGTCAGCGAGCCTGACCACCCGATCCCGTTAGTTGCCTCTTATGACAAGCATGGGTTACCGAAGATCAGTATTCTAACCCGGTTCTTCACGGGTTGTATGATGTACTTAATAATACAATGTTTTTGTTCTGGAATAAGATATAGCTTCTGTTAGAATGTGAATACACAGTGCTTGTTAGAAAGTTGTCAGATGTAGCATGTTATATTTGGGATGACACATTCTCTCTCTGTAAGGTACAGATGCTTGTCCCCATTCAGGGATCTGTACTTACACTGAGAAAATGTATTCCCAAATATATATCCCTGGCTTGCTTTGGAATAGTATAAGTTAGACATATGACAACCACATTACTAATGCTTCCAGACTTGTGAAGTGAGTTTGCAAATTGGCAAACATCATACATTTGCGTCACTGCAACCTTCCTCACACATTGGACTGACACATACTGTTGAAAACAGTGCTCAACTCACTCACTCACTGACTGACACTAAGTGTAGACATGCCATCCACATGTTAACATTAGGAAAGATTAAACAGTTGTAATTACTGAGCAGCTAATGCTCTATTATGTTTATGGGCATAACATGTCAAAAAGGTTATAATTCAAGGCACATGCACACAGACATGATGGAGAGAGTGGATTATGTAACACTGGTGCAATATTAGGAGGAGCAGTTATGGCCACCATGGGCTACATGCAAACAGCACATGATGAAGAGTATAACCTCCGTACTTGGCACTGCTCAGCTAGAGCCCAGGTAGAAGAGAGTGTCCAATTGTTGTACTACATGTCGAAAATGATTAAAACCCACGATAAGGTATGACTGCTTGTTGTTGATAACAGTCACCAACTGGCTGGTTCACAAGCGATTGTCTCACAGCCTGTTTGAACAAACCCAGGTAACCCAGTGGGAACTAGCCAAAGGAAAACAATATTATGGGTGATTGTGGGCCTCTGTGTCAATATATGAAGTGTTTTACAGATGCTGGTATAGGGACCTTTGTATGGCTACATACTGACAATTTGTGAGCCACTTAAATCTCTGGCATTGGCTTGTTTTGTTTGATGATGTTCACCTAAACCTGAGACGACTTTCTGGACAAATAAACGAAGTGACTTAACAGTTTAAGAGGAACAATCACCAGTGTGTTAACATTAATAACGGAATTGTACAACCACTAGTAGTAGGGACAGTTCTGAATTTCTACATGCAAGTAAACATAAGTAAATATACATACATGATATTCTAGTTTTTAAAATTTTCCAGTGTGTTTTACTGGCTCTAAACATCTTTGTGTACCCTTTGAGTATGGTAGGAAAGCAGTATCTTGCAAAATTTAGAGCAATGGGAATGTAATCCAACCAGAAATCGTGTGTCAGATGAAGTGAAGTTAAATCTTTGTAGATCAATGCTGGAATGGTGGTTGTGGGATAGATTTAATCTGGTGGACGACTGGCCGGAAAGTTAACAGCACCACTGAACACAGTAACAGTGTTGTGGAGGGCTGGAGAATAAATGCCCAGAAGCAGCGGGGAGCCGCAGGTTTGATTTTGTGCCAATCATATTGGTGGGAAATGGAGTAGAACTGACTGGGCCAAGATTGATAGTTTCTAATTAGTGAAGGTACATTGTGGGGATAGATAGGCCAGCCTGCACGCTGTTGGGAGGGAAGAGGGGCTTAGAAACAACCCACAACCAGCCGGCTACCGACTCCCGTCCCGAATCACATAACTAGTTGCCATGTCTCAAAGGCATTCAACATCAAAGTTAACAAACTTATTTTTGAACAGAAAATAGAGGAAAGTTTAATCTTGATTTGTAGATTAAAGACTGTAAGTAAACTGTAATGTTTGAAATGTAGCATTTCATGGGATTTTATATTTAAATTAATGCAGTTTACAGATATTTCCATTTGTCTGCATGTAAAATATATATAAGATTCATGTGAAACTCTCATTAAATACAATTTGAGTGAGTCATTAAAATATCATTGTTTCTTCTTGCAACACATTTGAAAGTTATTCACTTTTCAGGTAAGAAACATAGATTCGTGTGTAGAAATGACAGAGGTTATCAATATTCTGTGTAGAGAACTTTAGTTACTAAGGTAGCTATTTTCTGTGTTTACTAGTTCTTAGAAGATAATCGCTACGATTTCTGCTTTCTTTCAACCTGAAACAACAGTGTTCTGTTTCCCAATGGCCGTTTGTCTTGCTGAATTCAAACCATTTTCCTACCTTCCAACTGTAGACAAAGCATTGACATCAAAATTACAGATATTAAGTAGGTAAATAGCAGATAGAGGAGACCAGCGTTCTTGTTGACAGTCTGTCCATTTTAACAAACAAGAAGGTCTTGAACCCACAACATTAACATGGGGACAGATTGCCCAGTGGTCACTTGTATCAAACCATTGTACTCTTCAGACCCCACCTGGATGTAATCATCTGTATTTACCTGACAAACAGGTGAAAATCTCTGACATGCTATACATTGTGTGGTTAGAATTGTGGCAAACCGCCCCCAGTCATCGCTGTTTGGGTGTGAGGCTGAAATGAGTCACTTGTAGTCCTCATGTACCTCAGGAGTAACCTCCGAGCCGACACCGCGAGTTGGCCACTACATACCAGCCAAACTTTCAGATGATTAAACCAAAAGGGTATAAATAGAATATAATGTCTGTAATATTACATTGTTAGACATAGTTACAACCCCCCAACCCCTCCTACAGGTCATCACTGGCAATAAGAGGTGGGGAGGATGTTTGAATCACCAGAGAGGGAGAGTGTACGCTACAGTCTGGTAGAACAATACTCACTCAGTACTGACGGAGGGATTCTTTCCGTTAATGCTATTAGCAGTATGTAGGTGTAATTCTAGATTTAATTATTTGTATAACTTTATGATCGTTTCCAGTAATGAGGAAAAGGACATTAACGATTACGGGATAGTGTAACAGTATTACATAGCAAACGATTGATGGACATCCTGGAGAAAAGATGTGGCTTATACCCTGCTTTGTGTAAGGTTTAGCTGTAGGTATGGAATTGACATATCAAGTACTACCATGATGTCATTCAAATGAGAAAAAAAGAAACTAATTACAAATGTGTTTGAAAAGATTTCTGAAATTTAAGTACATCTATATTTGAAGGATTATTTTGGGCAATGCCACCCATGTTAAGTGTTTGTTTAGATGGAGTCCAGTAGTAGAATTATCTTCTTTAATGATCCATGTACGCATGTAATACAGCTCCTTAGTGCCCTTGGATGACCGGTGCTTCCCACAGGCACATTTTCCCTACCACATCACAGAGCACTGTAGTGTTCTGGGACCTCCACACACAGCGGGAATAAATCTCTATAATCCCTCTCCAACAGTGCAATACATGCCACACAGATTTCATTGCATGTAGCCATGGCGTAACATATTCTCTTTTGTCAAGAGGGTTTTGTCTGCTGTGGTGTCCAGCGTGCGTCATGATGGCCCAGAGTATTGTGATTAGTTCGGCCTCCTTGGGCACCGATACCTATGAGATTTGTCACTCACCTCAGCAGAAATCTCATAATAGGTTAAGTGGACTGCATGAATCTGGGTTCTTTCTCCTCGGCCGTTTCGGCCTACCTTGGGGAGTTTCAGAAGAAAACACACATGTTGGCTAGTTGAGATGATATAGGCAATTTATTTTAATTGAAACTGGAGTATATTGACCCCTGGTCATCATGTCCAGTTAACCTTACCAGGACATGCCCTGAGAGGTAGTGTTTTGTCAGAGGCTGTTGGTCCATACTTTGGTATCTGTGTTGTTCTCTCCCACCCGGAGGACAAGGAGGGAAGGGTTATATAAGGGTTCTTGTGGGGATAGGGGCTTTGTCCACACCTATACACAGTTTTGGAACATTATGCTTAAACTTATGGCTATTGTGTTGAAACCAGTAGCAAAACATCCTAGTCTTATTTGGTCTATATGTAAACAGTTCAAGTTACCTACCACACATATACAGGTGAAACATTGTTTGTGAGATATTTACTGAGTTTAATGCTTGAGAAAAGATATAAACATACTTATTTTTCATGAAATGTTTGGAATTTGTGTCATTCACATGACAAGGTCGAATTTTACATTTGAATTTTGGTGAAAGGAATGTGAACAGATCTTGACAGCATTATGAACAAGTTCCTGTGACATATTGACTATACATCATTGTCCTGTCTGCTATACCTTGTGTTACAATGTAACTGTGACATATTGACTATACATCATTGTCCTGTCTACTATACCTTGTGTTACAATGTAACTGTGACATATTGACTATACATCATTGTCCTGTCTGCTATACCTTGTGTTACAATGTAACTGTGACATATTGACTATACATCATTGTCCTGTCTACTATACCTTGTGTTACAATGTAACTGTGACATATTGACTATACATTATTGTCCTGTCTACTATACCTTGTGTTACAACGTAACTGTGACATATTGACTATACATCATTGTCCTGTCTGCTATACCTTGTGTTACAATGTAACTGTGACATATTGACAATACATCATTGTCCTGTCTGCTATACCTTGTGTTACATTGTATCTGTGACATATTGACTATACATCATTGTGACATATTGTCTACATCATATACCTTGTGTTACAATGTAACTGTGACATATTGACTATACATCATTGTCCTGTTGACATATTGCTATACCTTCCTGTTACAATGTAACTGTGACATATTGACTATACATCATTGTCCTGTCTACTATACCTTGTGTTACAATGTAACTGTGACATATTGACTATACATCATTGTCCTGTCCTGTCTGACATATTGACTATACCTTGTGTTACAATGTAACTGTGACATATTGACTATACATCATTGTCCGGTCTGCTATACCTTGTGTTACAATGTAACTGTGACATATTGACTATACATCATTGTCCTGTCTACTATACCTTGTGTTACAATGTAACTGTGACATATTGACTATACATCATTGTCCTGTCTACTATACCTTGTGTTACAATGTAACTGTGACATATTGACTATACATCATTGTCCTGTCTGCTATACCTTGTGTTACAATGTAACTGTGACATATTGACTATACATCATTGTCCGGTCTACTGTACCTTGTGTTACAATGTAACTGTGCCATGCTATATCAGATGTTACAACATACCAATGTTTCTATTGACAGTATACACAATTACTGAGTTCCACTGTCTGGACTATAACTAGGCTCCAATTGTCTTATGATATTGTGTGTAAAAGTAGTGATATTCTGAAATATTTGGGTGAAGAAGTGCCGATTTTCTGACAAATTTGTGTTAAAATGTACAGATGTTGTGACATTTTTGGGTTAATAGTAACTATAATATCCACTCAAGGAATTATGTTCTGTTTCATGATAATTAAGAGAATGTGACCTTTGACCTGCGATATGGAGTCCCTCCAGACAGATGGTGGGAAACAATGTGACTTGGACACACCTGTCTTTTATTGAAGAATCTGTTTTGATGCCATTGCATTTAATCAAAATGATTCCCTTAAATTGGCTTCTTGGTTTAAGTTGTCTAATTAAACACTGATTGGGTGTCATTAGTGGTAGCCCAAACAAAACTCCTTGCCCCATCTTTTGTAATGTTTGTTGTCATTGGTCACCTGCCTTATTACAGCCAATGAAAAGAGAGACAATGTGTAATGTTGGATTTGATTGGCTAGGGTATTTATAGAGGTGCATCTGTCTGAACTGTGAGGCGTTATGCAATAGTTTGAAGAAGTGCTACTTAAGCACACAATAGCAATTCAAGCAATTCTGTTAATGCTTCTTGATAGCAGGCTCCTGTGAAGTGCAGAGAATTAAAGATGATTGTTGGTGTTAACTCTCTGTCTTCATGTACCACATCTGGCTCATGGTGTGCAGACATTAATATACAGATCCATGAACACTAGCCCTTCAGTGCTTATCAAAAAATGAAATTGTTTGAATTTATTTTTCTCAAATTTATGTGTTCATTTCATGGCTAATAGATTTTGCTTCATGTTGCGTAACAAATTTGATAAATATATTTTTGCTGGCAATAAAAATATAGGCAAACAGATGAAAGTGATGTGTCACTATGCTAGAAACATTTAACTTCTTGTTAGTTTTAAGGCGGTGGGGTAGCCTAGTGGTTAAAACGTTCGCTCGTCATGCCGAAGACCCAGGTTCGATTCCCCACATGGGTACAATGTGTGAAGCCCATTTCTGGTGTCCCCAGCCGTGATATTGCTGGAATATTCTAAAAGCGGGCATAAAACCAAACTCAGTCAGTCAGTCTTGTTAGTTTTAGGAAATAAGAATTGTATGTTGAACAATGGAGGAGTATTTTATAACATCTGTTCCAACCACATGTACTGGCAGTGGGATATTTACAGGTTACAATATGAATTTAATGTTAATTTGTAGCAATTATTAGGTGTGAGGGTTTCTGTTTCACCCTGACTGAGGCATGGTAAAGCATGGACATCGAGTGTTACAGATGTATTTCGTTCAGTTTATGTGTCTACTTACAATGCTGGAGGGAGAGATAACCTTGTTTGCTCAAAACTTAAGTGTTTTATATTTTAGTGCTCATGAGTGATTTTTTCTCCCATAGCTAGTAGTGTATGGGTTATTATGTACTTTAAGTTTGAAACAGCCCACCTGACATGGCAGGCATTCTATGAGTTTGTAGATTTGTGGGTATCATCAACACTTTTTAGGGATTCCAGGGTATGATAGCTTCCCGGTAATGGATGTGTGACGTGAAGTAGACTGGGTGGTTTGCCTTAACCCAAGGGAGTGGGTCTTCATCACATCGACCACTGGTTTGTCTGGTCATCAGTGGATTATATATAAATGTCATGATAAATAAAGCCCCATTATTATCATCATTTTAGGTTTATGATGTTAATATTTTGATAATTTATTTGCAGGTTACATTCACCAAGCGAAAGTTTGGATTGATGAAGAAAGCTTATGAGTTGAGCGTGTTATGTGACTGCGAGATCGCCCTCATCATCTTCAATGGCTCCAACAAGCTGTTCCAGTATGCCAGCACTGATATGGACAAGGTCCTTCTGAAATACACCGAGTATAATGAACCCCACGAGAGCCGCACAAATAAGGACATCATTGAGGTGAGTGGGGGAGGACTGAGGGGTCGCCACCACAATAATGTCATCGAAGCACTTACATGGAGACATTTCAGTGTTAGCTTTTTTGGGATCAGAGGGGGAAGTTGGTGAGACTTGTTTGTTTCGATATTTGTGACGTAGTTGACAACTTGATCTGAGATGGCACAGTTTCACTCAGAAGGTGTTCTCTTGTTAGTTCGTGGAAAACATATTGAAGTGCTTTTTGTTGACTTAGCATACATGGTCTGCGCTTGTAACACAACTTATTATGCTGTTATTGCTCAATGATAATGAAATATTGTCTTTTCATGGCACTGTGTTTTATCTGGAGATATTTTGGGGTGAAATGTGAATTTTCTGATGACGTGACTTCTACATTTGGTACATTAATGTTCCCAGCATGCATCTGTTATGTGAGACGCTGTCTCTGTGGTGAGATACTCTCAGGTCAGGAAGCACATACTCTTATGTGAGGAGGCAATTGTAATGAGACATATTGCCATTATAGGATACACTCAGTGTAAGTGATGAGTCTGTGGAGAATATTGTCACTAAGTGAACATGTGTTTATGTCAGGCAGTTATTTGAGGCTCAAGTTAATGTGGTGATGTAGAATGTGGTCAGTTGAGCAAGTGATGTCCCTGTTGAATCATTGGTCATATAAAGAAGTAGTGTGGGTGATACGACTGCTATATGATAACAGAAGTATTGTAAGTGATGTGATAACGCAAGTATTGTAAGTGATGTGATAACAGAAGTATTGTAAGTGATGTGATAACAGAAGTATTGTAAGTGATGTGATAACAGAAGTATTGTAAGTGATGTGGTAACACAAGTATTGTAAGTGATGTGATAACACAAGTATTGTAAGTGATGTGATAACAGAAGTATTGTAAGTGATGTGGTAACACAAGTATTGTAAGTGATGTGATAACAGAAGTATTGTAAGTGATGTGATAACAGAGGTATTGTAAGTGATGTGATAACAGAAGTATTGTAAGTGATGTGATAACAGAAGTATTGTAAGTGATGTGATAACACAAGTATTGTAAGTGATGTGATAACACAAGTATTGTAAGTGATGTGATAACACAATTACTGTAGTGATGATAACAGAAGTGATAACACAAGTATTGTAAGTGATGTGATAACACAAGTATTGTAAGTGATGTGATAACACAAGTATTGTAAGTGATGTGATAACAGAAGTATTGTAAGTGATGTGATAACAGAAGTATTGTAAGTGATGTGATAACAGAAGTATTGTAAGTGATGTGATAACAGAAGTATTGTAAGTGATGTGATAACACAAGTATTGTAAGTGATGTAATAACACAAGTATTGTAAGTGATGTGACTTCAAGTTTATATGATAACAGAAATACAATGTCACATTCAAAATCATCTGATGAACTTTGTAGGCTTTGTTGAAATTTCCTTTCATGGACAAGTGTATTTTTGTGTGATAATTAATTTTCTAAAGGGTTGGTGTAGATATTTCTACTGGAGATATACATTGTACTGCTGACTGTTTGATTGGAATAATTCTATTAACCCAACTGATTGCTTATGATGTTTGATGAGGTAAATAGTATTAATGATGTAATGCCCTTATCAAAGGTTTGACTAGCATACAGGGATGGCAACAGGAATATTATTTTCATCTGAAAACTTAATATTGTGTCATCAAACGGGAGAAATCCATGAAATAGCAGAAAATGGCCATCCCTGAGCATATATTTGTATTACGACAGGTCAAATTAAAACCTAAACTAAAACGTATTCCTTTTGTATATAAAGTTTGAAAACATAGTCCAGAAGTTGATATATTCCTCTCTCTATAAATGATGAAGGCACCCAACTCAGCCATATCTTATCAGTAAGCTTCAGACTTAATAGAATGCAATGCTTTTACAGAAATTAACAAGGTTATATAAACAAACCCACAAAAAATGATAAGTTTAAAAGAATTTAATTCATTGCCATTAGACTTTTTGTTACTACTGTTGAATACGTTCTGCTGTACATGAAACAAACGGTTGGGGGTCCACACTCTCCCATTCAACTATAATATTACCTGTCAAAACTGTTCACTTCAAGCCATGTTATACCCCTGCAACTGAGCAGTTTGTCTTGTTGAGGATTGTTGGTGTGTAACTTTGTTAATTTGTGTAACAAAAAGTTGTGTCATATTTCATGCTTATCAGTGGTATAAAGAGCATGTATATATGCTTTACAAACAGTATTTAACAAATAATTGGCTGGTTTAAATAGGAGTTGATGTGTGCGATTTCACCTCAAGAAATATCTATACCATTCACAAGACGTTAAACAACACCCTGTTATGTGTGACAATAGTTGATATGGCTGTCACAGATGAATGTAGTCTGAGGAAAATACTGGGTGTTCTAAACAGTACTAAATCCAGGAAGGAGATGGTTGTGATCTCATTCAAGAAAGACACACACTTATTTTATGGCTATTTCAAATTATAATGGAAACTGGCTGTACATGACATGAGAAGTGCATATTGTTGAAGTGCAGCTGTCGATGTCAGGGGTGTTGAGGCATTGGGGGGGTGCCTTGCACAGCCGGGTACCCAGCAGTGGAATCACCACATGCAAACTGATATGCATCTTTTCAAAATTTTCACAAACACTACGTTACCATACTTCAATCAAAGTGCTTCTGTCTGTTGAAGTGAACTTCACATTTGTTCATATTCTAGGACAAGATCTAATTATTATGTTTTTATCTTTGTAACTCATGCAGTCCAGAAGTACCCTGACAATATATTTCACCCACAATGTACTAGTATATAATATAGTACAAGCAAATGTTGGTTTTCACCTGAGGGCTAATATCTGTATAAAATTTACTGCATGTTGTTAAAGGTGAGTGAAGGTTCTGACTATGGTAAAGTGCCTATGGTGGGGGGAGGGAGGAGGGAGGGCAGTGGGTACATACATACAGCCCCCATCTCCCAGGTTAACTGAGCCCTCCAAGCAGGGGATAAACTGTAGAAACATGGCTCCTGGCTAGGAGGTTGAGGCTAGGGAGAGGGATGGACGACGACACCGCAGGCATATTGTGGGTTTTGAATTGAGGTAGATGCTCACTTGTTATTGAGATGAGATATCTTTTGTAAGATGTTTACACAGCGACACCAGGATATACTACATCAATGTATTTGATAAAGATCTCACTGGGTTTTCAAAGGGACTGAATACATTTAGTGGCTTGCTGTGTCAGTGAGTGTAGTTTTTGTAAGCTTATGTGTTTTTACTTTCGATATGTCTGATACTGTTGAGGTGACTGAGTGCACAAACTGACGGTGATTTCAAATCACAGGTGAGCGTGATTTTATGAGGTGATGTATTGGTGTAAAAATCAGGTCATTCCGTATAATGGAGATGAATTAGATTTTTTATCTCTCTCTTGTATGTCTTGTTAATGGTTTGAGGCACAGACTGTACATTGTGATCACATGTTTTGAGGTTATTGTGTAATAACTGGGGATTATTAAAGATGAAGAACAGATCTTGACAAACTGTATCCAAGGGAGGAGACTCTTGTTAAGTTAGTGTGTCAACAATCCTGTGTTCTGTAACAGATCGGGCTGCCATTACATTGCCATGGCTGTAGAATATATGTACATTATGAAACCAAAACCGATCTAGATTACAAAACCACAGGTCAAGCTGGCTCTAATCAACACATGAAACGTACATTAGGGAAAGGACGTATTGGAGAGAAATGTATGATGTAATAAACAATATCATAGTAAAGGAGTTAGCCTTGGGGACTCTTTCACCATATTTAAGCCATCATAATGACGTCATGTTATTGTGGTTGCAGTTGGTACAATGCCAAGAATTCACTGGCATATTCTAATGGTGCTTTTGTAGAAGTAAGAAGTAAGTACGCACTAAGATATAGCAGAATATCATATAGACAACAACCAGGCTCTGATTGAGAGGAATCACTTCAGGGTCTGATGAGTCAGCTACCTGGAACAACAGATTCAAGTGATCTCTCCATTACACAGAAGATATGTGAAATAGGAAGTTTGAGCTGAGTGCCCTCCCCATGTAGCCCCTCAAGTATTGAATCTTCATCCTCATCAGCATCTCCAGCGGCAGCAGCAGCATCGTTCCCCACAGCATCATTCCCCACACAGAGCTGTTTGTTTACAACCTCCAGCCCATAAATGGATAATTAGGTCACAGAGGTAGATAGACAGATGAGAAGAGGCACCCTGGTGATGAGAACATGAGAACATGGTCTTGTCAGTTAGATTCACTCAACCAATATCCAGCTCATGTTTTCCCAGTCTGTTTCTTGTAGAACACAAAAAACAACTCTTATGTGATTCGAATTTTCATTTTTTAGAACTAATGATTCTCGATATAAGCATCAATGTCGGTGTCAGTTTCCAAAATTACATTGATGAATAATAGTGAGAAGAGTTACTAGTGTCAAAGGTTTGTTGTGACTGTGGGGGGGCTGTGTTGAATCACTGCCTTGTGCACATGCCTGCACTCAACTAAACCTGCAGTACCATACAGATCATGGGATTGTGATCTACATAACTAGAGGCTTCAAACACAGGCTGGGGAGTGCATGATGGGATAGCATCAAGATTTGAGGTGCTTTTACATAACTTGCTCAACTTTACAGCTGCTGCAGAATTTGTTCCAGAGTGATAAATCTTTTAACTCTTTGGATGATGACATTGTCAAAACATTATCAGTTTGATGAACTTTAATGTTAATGATGTCAGATACTTTATACAATTAATATTTCATGCTACAGTACCATTTTTTCTTGAGTAAAGAGCACACTTTTTTTTACCCAAAAGATGTGTGTGGAGGGGTGTGCTCAAAACACAAGTCATAATGAATTTTGATCATGACCATCAACACATAATACCAAATATACCATGTCGACTAATCTTAGATTCCACAGGCAATTACACTGTCTGGTTGCAAGTCTTCATTGTAAATCAGGACTCATGTTTTGATCTTTAAGATTGTTAATGTGTGTTCGTTTATACTTGAATTCACTGAAGAGATACAGATTTTTTGTATGTACATAAAACACACACCGTTTTCCCAGTGTACTGATTCCTCTAAAGAAGAGCACGTGCTCAGGTAGTGAAAAATATCGTTATCTCCCTTGTCACAGTTCGACAAATTCAAATCTTGTAATACTTTGGATAATAACATTGTTGAAACAATATCAAACATTGCTCAACTTGGGTTTTTATGATTATTAAAACTGAATGTAGTAATCATTGGCACATAGTAACTTAACAACAAATTCAAAGGTGTTGTGACCAATATTTACAAGAGGCCAGAGGGGCACTGAATACTGTATAGGATCTCTGCCTGCGTGTCTGTAGACCTCTTTGGCCTTGTTTGCCCGGAGAGAGTGTCATACAGTGCAGGAAGTAGTCCACATTTCACTGTAGTAATTACATTGGTACATTTACTGACAGAGTATGAAATGTAATACCTCATGTTGTCAGTCAAGCTATTAATGTCATATTGAATTTTGAGTCAGATAAGAAAGGTAATTCATTACAATGTGAGTCAGCGTATTGTTTTGTTATATATTAAACCATTAGTCAAGATATGAAATGTAATGTATTATGTTGTCAGTCAAGCTGGTAATGTAATATGTTAAATTGTTAGACAAGATTTTAAATGTAATATTTTATGTTGTTGGTAAAAGTATTATATGTCATCATAAATTGTCATTCAAGAATTAAATGAAAAGTAGTACATTTGTCAGTCAAAGTATAAAATGTAATCACTTGTATGAAATGTAATATCTTACCTTGACTATACAGTCATCAAATATGACCATTTACCAGGCCAGTCAAAATGTTAAATGCATTGTTTTTCCCTGACTATCAAGACATTGGAGTAATATTAGCCCAAACCGAAATGACAAATCTTTGGCTTTATTAAAAGTCTACTTTTAATATAATTTCATATTTATTCCTAAATATAAGTTGATATGTGATTGAAAGCATAACGAACACTGAAGATAAAAATATATAATAATGTTAGAGAAATTCATCAAATGGATCAGTACTAATGTATTGGTGAGTTGATGCTGCATCCACATGAGCAAATCCCAGTCTGAATGAACTCTATAGAAAGTAGGTCTATATCATTGCCTCCCTCTGAAGACTTACACATCCCATTTATCAGCAGTACAAGGCCACACAGACATGGCCAGAAATTAAGAAGGTCTTTCCGTGTCTGTGATAGCATTAGCTGGGCTTCGTTTATCAGAATATTGAAGTTGACAAGCTGTATACTGGGATATTATTCCATAATAGGTTAATCTCCATTCATAAATCAGGTTTCTAGGCTTGGCCTCGGAACCAGAATATCCAGGTCACATTAGGCACTAATGATGGCAGAAATTAATTACCTGTAATGAGTCTATTTTAGAGGATGTGTGGGTAGCCATCGATCTCACCAAATCCAGTCTTACCTTTATAAGTCAATCCCACTTCTCAGGGGTTGCAGCAGTTGAACAGATGGTGTAAAGTCCACATTTTAGAACAGAGTTTGTTCCTATGTTACTCTCTACGTGTTGTTCCTTGAACATTGTCAAAGAGTATGTGGGATTGGGCAGGCGCAAGGGTGTTTTTAGTGGGGCTAATGTTTATGGGTTTAATAATAGAAACCGTAGTTTTTTGTGCTTCTAAATTCAACCAAGATATTCCAGTTAACAGAAATAACCCAGACTGTTTTATATATAACCTCATCTGAATTGCCAGAATATCTGGATGTGTGAGCTGGTGTACTCCCTGTTACCAGCATATAGCTTTTGGTTTGGAACGTCATGATAACATATCGATCCAGTTACCTAAAATAGTCACAGCCGAGGCACCACACTATAAATAGGCAGTCGCTGGACCGAAATAACTCAAGTGTGAGTCAAATACTTTACAACCAGGACTTTGTGATATAGAATCTACCTCTGTGGAACACAGTGACCCACATTCAGACAGCCTGCCCACAGTTCAGAAGAGCTAGCAGTGCCACAGTGAATATGCTCCGCTTGAGGCCAGCAATCAACTCATTATCTGACTGGCTCAGAAATATTGAAAATTCACTCCGACCTTTATGCGGAAAGATCTTTCAGGAGATGTTTGTGTAAATTGCTTCGAATGTGGACTTGGCAAGTGCTTGTTAAGCTTTTAGGGAAAGTTATCGAGTTGATCAGAATAAGTGAGATGGTGGGAGTGATTCTTCACCTGAATTAACACAAGCCGAGCCTGGAGTGACATGCTTATTTGAAGTTGGAGTCAGCTTAGTTACCACATTTATTGCTGAAAGAGGAGAAATAAAGTCAGTAAAAAGGATGGATTATTTGTCTTAAGGTCCCCTTTGAAGATATTTGATAAATGAAATACATTTAGTGTGGTGTCACCTGTAGGAGGTGTAGAGGCTAATACCGGACAGGGAGCCCGGAAGGGGAGGGAACAGTTGATACAGCCTACAGTTGACTTGCTTATTAATCCAACAATCTAAAGACTTGGTTATAAATCTAACAGTCTAATGACTTGGTTATAAATCTAACAATCTAAAGACTTTGTTATAAATCTAACAATCTAAAGACTTGCTTATTAATCCAACAATCTAAAGACTTAGTTATAAATCTAACGGTCTAAAGACTTCGTTTAAATCTAACAATCTAATGACTTGGTTATAAATCTAACAATGTAATGACTTGGTTATAAATCCAACATTCTAAAGATTTGGTTATACCGGTATATGTGAGGACATTGGTATAAATGTAAGGGCACTGTTATGATCTTCCAGTATTGTTTTGAAACTAAGGGCATTGTTATAAATCTTTATGCAAGGATGATATTGCAACTGTAAGGACAATATTATAAATATGTCTATGGTAATTGCTGTAAGCCTGCATATCCAAGGACATTGGTATAAATGTAATGACAGGGTTATAAGTCTGTGTCTGAAGATAGTGGTATATATCTGTTAGAGAACTCTGTTGGTGGTGTATGTATCACAGGACATCAGTATGTAATTGTGTATCCAAAGACAACAGCAGGGATTTACGGGATGCGAATTCCTGCACCCTATACATATAAAAATTGACAATGGACGCAACAAAATTTAATAGTGCACCTAGCAGGATGCAGAAAAAGTCCAAATACTTTTTGTAAAATTTTGATCAAGTAACAAAAAGTTATCACTGAGTCTGCTACTAGATGGGTTATGGTATCATTTGCAATTTAATTGCTGTAACAATGTGATGATTATGATACACAATACAATAACAGTAACTGAATTACAACAATATTACAACATAGTAAGTAGTAATGATAATATTTAAGTGTCTTGGACCCCCATTTTGTAGTCCAGGACCCCTGAAAATTAAGAGTATGAGTCCCAGGGACCCTCAAATACAGGACTTTGGGTAAATCCCTGCAGTAGTATAGATGTGTACATCTAACAGCAATGTTATAAACCTGTATCTCTGGCCATTATTTAAACTGTGGACAATCTATGGACATTGGTATGAGTCTATGTATCTATGGACAATGGTATAAATCTGTGTATCTAAGGACATTGGTTTAAGTGTGTGTGTATCTGGACATTGGTATGAGTCTATGTATCTATGGACAATGGTATAGATCTGTGTATCTATGGACATTGGTTTAAGTCTGCATGTCTCTGGACATTGGTATGAGTCTACATATCTAAGGACATTGGTATAAATCTGTGTATCTAAGGACATTGGTTTAAGTCTGCATGTCTCTGGACATTGGTATGAGTCTATGTATCTATGGACTGGTATAAATCTGTGTTTATGGACATTGGTTAAGTCTACATATCTAAGAACATTGGTTTAAGTCTGAGTGTCTCTGGACATTGGTATGAATCTGTGTATCTATGGACATTGTTCTGTGATGTTCTGGTTACTGTCAGTCACATAGGAGGATTAACTGGGAATTGGTTTGGAAAGATATTTGAAAACTCAGTTTGGAGGAAAACAATATTTGTAAGTGATATTGTGTTTGCAAGTTTTGCAGGCAGTTGTTGTTTCGAATATATATCATGTAGAAAAGATATTTATTTGAGCATCGGTTTAAGTAGTTGCAACAGATGTAACCACATTATACTCAAGAAAATATCAGCTTTGTCAGGTAACTTGATGAGATGCATTATTTTTGATGAGATAAAACAAACATCCATTGACTTAGAAGTGAAGTATAAAATAGAAATAACAGATGTATACATTATCATACAAAGTTTCTATTAACATAATGTATGTGTATATTTGCTGCAGGAGACATGTATTGTTTCTGAATGGTGTGCTGGCTTGTTGCAGGCTCTCAACAAGAAGGAACACAAGGGCTGTGAGAGTCCAGAGCCTATTGAGCAAGACCCCTTCGCCCAGGGCCTACGTGGGGATGACAAATACGAGCGCATCAACGATGACTACCAGCGTGTCATGCAGCAGAACGTCATGAGGGTCAGTGTTACAGAATTATACCATTTGGGGTACAACAAAGTATATAATGTTCGTCAAAACCAAAACATGTAGATAATATATGTAATATCTGCAACTGTTTTCTGAATTTATGATATGAATTCAAATTTCATACAATAGTATTTTGAGGGTGACATTTGGCTATGTTAATGTTGCTATTGACTAATGAACATTGTCTGACTCTTCTGCAGTCTGATGTCTGTTGACAGGTTTCAGCTGAGACGAAAACTGACGAACACAATGTACTTGTTGTGCCCAAGCCTTAAATACTAAATTCTTTTAACTTTCTGTTCTAAACAACACAAGATAAATAACAATTGACAGAGTGTAAATGTTGGAGTAGGTCACTGAGTGTTGTATTCTGTTGTTCATTTTTAGCCAGACAAGCGACCACGGCCTCAAGAGAATTTCTTGTCAAAGTTCTTTTCTTTTTACCTTTCAGAAGTTTATGAATTATCCACAGTTCTTTGACCAAAGCGTATGTATCAGTCTGCAGTTATTTCTTACACATGTATCAATGTACTCAAATTTGCTGATGCTTCTTGTTCAAAATACATTTGCATATGTGGCAGATCGGAAATAATCTGTGTTGGTAGAGGGCTACTGTGCAGTCTCTAAAGCATGTCTACAACAACGGATCCAGGAGTTATTAAGCTATAGTTTAGTAACCTAAACACTGGATAAAATAATGGGGATGGGAATATAATTATCTTGTATATTATTTGATACAAGTGGGCTTTGTTTGTCCTTGACCTCCCTGGACCCACCTAGTTTCACCTACAAGGCCTACAACCAGTAGGCCAAGAAGTCAGGATGTATATCTCGCTATCAGCTCTCAGCTCTCATTTAACGGCCATTGTAGAGCATTATGTAAAACAGTTACACAGTTTATTTATATTAGAAACACATGTTTGTTTTAATACACACCTTGATTGATGCTCCCACCTAGTTGTGTGATGGTAGTTCCTGTTTAGTGCAGCGGTTCCTCACCACTGTCCTAACACTTACTAGCTGGCCTCTAGGGGCACCTGCCAACCTACCTACCAGCCTGCTTCAGTTAATCCTGTCCCAATGCTTGCGTAATGCACCACCAAACATAATATACAGCATATATAATCACATTGTTTTAGTGCTGGTTTTTCTTGTACAAATGTGACAAGTGACAACATGATTTGATTAGTCCTAGTATTGGAGACATAGGTGCTGTATACAATGTTTATATTTGTGTGGAAGTGTCTGGGAGATCCCTGCACTGCCCTGTGTGTACTACAGCACAGGCCTCTGTCTAACATTGTCAAACTGAAAATGTCTCTCAATTTGGTCAAATTATTCTTGTGTTTGAGTTTAATGTTTACAATGAATATCAGAAGTTTCTAATTGATTATTTTTAAATAAATAATTATTCATGCTAATTATTTCTCTATTAGACAATTTATAAATGTTTTGTGTGTTACAATTTGTAATATGTACAGTCCAGTTAGTGATTCTGCTAGTATAACCCATATATTCTTTTTTGATGTTTTGTTGCCTGCATAACAGGGTATGTAAGGGGTGGGTCAGTAGGTAATGTTGACAGGGTATGTCAGTAGGTAATGTTGACAGGGTATGTAAGGGGTGGGTCAGTATGTAATGGTAACAGGGTATGTCAGTAGGTAATGTTGACAGGGTATGTAGGGAAGGAGGTCAGTAGGTGTGTTGACATGGTATGTAAGGGGTGGGTCAGTAGGTAATGTTGACAGGGTATGTCAGTAGGTAATGTTGACAGGGTATGTCAGTAGGTAATGTTGACATGGTATGTAAGGGGTGGGTCAGTAGGTAATGTTGACAGGGTATGTCAGTAGGTAATGTTGACAGGGTATGTAAGGGGTGGGTCAGTAGGTAATGTTGACAGGGTATGTCAGTAGGTAATGTTGACAGGGTATGTAAGGGGTGGGTCAGTAGGTAATGGTGACAGGGTATGTCAGTAGGTAATGTTGACAGGGTATGTAAGGGGTGGGTCAGTAGGTAATGGTAACAGGGTATGTAAGGGGTGGGTCAGTATGTAATGGTAACAGGGTATGTAAAGGGAAGGGTCAGTAGGTTATGTTGACATGGTATGTAAGGGGTGGGTCAGTAGGTAATGTTGACAGGGTATGTCAGTAGGTAATGTTGACAGGGTATGTAAGGGGTGGGTCAGTAGGTAATGTTGACAGGGTATGTCAGTAGGTAATGTTGACAGGGTATGTAAGGGGTGGGTCAGTAGGTAATGTTGACAGGGTATGTCAGTAGGTAATGCTGACAGGGTATGTAAGGGGTGGGTCAGTAGGTAATGCTGACAGGGTATGTAAGGGGTGGGTCAGTAGGTAATGTTGACAGGGTATGTCTGTAGGTAATGTTGACAGGGTATGTCTGTAGGTAATGTTGACAGGGTATGTCAGTAGGTAATGTTGACAGGGTATGTCAGTAGGTAATACTGACAGGGTATGTCTTTAGGTAATGTTGACAGGGTATGTCAGTAGGTAATGTTGACAGGGTATGAAAGGGGTATGTCAGTAGGTATTGTTGACAGGGTATGTAAGGGGTGGGTCAGTAGGTAATGCTGACAGGGTATATAAGGAGTATGTCAGTAGGTAATGTTGACAGGGTATGTCAGCAGGTAATGTTGACAGGGTATGTAAGGGGTGGGTCAGTAGGTAATGTTGACAGGGTATGTAAGGGGTGGGTCAGTAGGTAATGCTGACAGGGTATGTAAGGAGTATGTCAGTAGGTAATGTTGACAGGGTATGTAAGGGGTGGGTCAGTAGGTATCGCTGACAGGGTATGTAAGGAGTATGTCAGTAGGTAATGCTGACAGGGTATGTAAGGGGTGGGTCAGTAGGTAATGCTGACAGGGTATGTAAGGGGTGGGTCAGTAGGTAATGTTGACAGGGTATGTCAGTAGGTAATGCTGACATTGTATGTAAGGGATGGGTCAGTAGGTATTGTTGACAGGGTATGTCAGTGGGTAATGCTGACAGGGTATGTAAGGGGTGGGTCAGTAGGTAATGTTGACAGGGTATGTCAGTAGGTAATGTTGACAGGGTATGTAAGGGGTGGGTCAGGTAATGTTGACAGGGTATGTCAGTAGGTAATGTTGACAGGGTATGTCAGTAGGTAATGTTGACAGGGTATGTCAGTAGGTAATGTTGACAGGGTATGTCAGTAGGTAATGCTGACATGGTATGTAAGGGGTGGGTCAGTAGGTAATGTTGACAGGGTATGTCAGTAGGTAATGCTGACAGGGTATGTAAGGGGTGGGTCAGTAGGTAATGCTGACAGGGTATGTAAGGGGTGGATCAGTAGGTAATGTTGACAGGGTATGTCAGTAGGTAATGTTAACAGGGTATGTAAGGGGTGGGTCAGTAGGTAATGCTGACAGGGTATGTAAGGGGTGGGTAAGTCGGTAATGTTGACAGGGTATGTCAGTAGGTAATGCTGACAGGGTATGTAAGGGGTGGGTCAGTAGGTAATGGTGACAGGGTATGTCAGTAGGTAATGCTGACAGGGTATGTAAGGGGTGGGTCAGTAGGTAATGCTGACAGGGTATGTAAGGGGTGGGTCAGTAGGTAATGTTGACAGGGTATGTCAGTAGGTAATGGTGACAGGGTATGTAAGGGGTGGGTCAGTAGGTAATGCTGACAGGGTATGTAAGGGGTGGGTCAGTAGGTAATGTTGACAGGGTATGTCAGTAGGTAATGCTGACAGGGTATGTAAGGGGTGGGTAAGTAGGTAATGTTGACAGGGTATGTCAGTAGGTAATGATGACAGGCTATGTAAGGGGTGGGTCAGTAGGTATTGGTGACAGGGTATGTCAGTAGGTAATGGTGACAGTGTGTTTGACAGAGCATGTTAAGGTTATCCTGCCCGTTGGGATGAGGAGGAGATAATGTTGGCTATCCTGACGTTGTGCTTTGTGTTTCAGGGGGGCATCCAGCAGTACCACAATACCATGCCGGTGCCGATACACAATAGTGGCTATCCCAGTCAACCGGGTTTGATTCCGCCTCCACAGAACCATGTCCTGAGTGGCTCCCCTGGACTGCTACAGCCACCACAGGTGGCGCCCCCTAGCCACAGTCCCAGACCCAACTCTACTGGTAAGTGCTGCGCCGCCTTGTTATAGCTAGTGGTAAATCATCTCTCCTGGACCATGCTGACTTTATCTGAAATTATGCAACTCCATTGTGGTGTTACAACCTGCTGTATCAGACAAGCTCCACGTTACACTGGTTGTAGACCTGTACCTAATCCTGAAACAGGGGGAGATAATTGTGTTACTTCCCAACCAGGGAGCTGAATCCAGAAATCAAACAAGCAGAGACCTTTTGTGGATTCAATCAGTGAAATGTTTTGATGTTTGTGTACATAATCTCCATTTGAAAATCTCCATTTGAAATTCTTAGATTTAATGGCATTTTGTAGAAGTCGTAATTTGAAGTTAATTTTTCAAAAGAGTACAATTTGAAATGCTTATGATTAGGGATATAAATTTGTTATATTTATATATATACTCATAGAAAGGAAGAAGGGAACACTTGAAAGTACAAGTGTTCCTTATTCTTTTCCAGGTTTCTTCATAAAGCTTTGTATTGCACTGTGGGTGAAATTCTGGAAAAGAATAAAGGAACACTTGTACTTTCATGTGATCCCTTATTCGTTTCCATAAGTATATATTTTTAAATATCTGTTTGTTTCATCTCCTTATAAAGGCTTTGTTGAGATACTTCACTGTATGGGTAGGCAGTATTTACCTGTTGTAGTTCTAGTATTCCAATTACAAATGGTATGTTTTGTTTCTTGCAGGTGGGATGGTTGATCTGAGTCATTCCCCCACCCCAAATGGCTACCCCCATCGAGTGTCCCCGTGCAGCTCGCCGGGGGTGATGGTCCACCATGCTAAGCAGATGGCCAAACAGTCGCCCACCCCAACCCAAATGAGGCCCAACCCAAACCTTCGTGTGATGATCCCACCTCACAGCCGTGGGGATCTCATGTCACCTGATGTATGTACACATATCATCCTGCTTTGGGCTGTGTTAGTGAGGGAAGCATGAGTGAGTGAGTGAGTGACTGTGTAACTGGGAGGTAGGAAAAATGATGTAATGATGAGGGAGAGGGATCTACATACTTTTATTGACTTTGCGAAATTGAACCTTCAGGCCAAATAAAAAAAATGTTGTGGTTCCGATTACACCTCTTTAAAATTTAGGGTAGGTATGTATGAATTTTTCTTTTTACGTATTTTTTTTAGAAGGAAAGTACAAACTGATGGCACATGTATCAATGTGTTATTGTATATTCAATCAAGCTTGCGGCCATCATGTCCACTTTCTCTATTAGAATGACCGATATCTGTCAGTGTCGGGGGAAAAAACAATGGTATCTGAAAGCTTATTTTATTAAATCCGCTTAAAAAAAGTAGGGTCGGCACCAGAATTCAAGGGTTGGTCGGGTAATCGGAACCACAACATTTTTAGGCCTCATGAGTGGAAGAAAGCAGCATCTTCTGGACCCTTCAGCTGCACACCCATCCATCACTTGCAGGCTGTCTTGCTTCAATGTATAGGATGATGTTAGGGAATGGCGTTTGTGTTTTGGATACGTGTAAGGAAACATACAGTAATGCTTGTATTTTGTTCCACAGCTCCAAGGCCGAGTAGGCAACTCCTTAGTAACGCCAGTTGTATCCTTGGCAACCCCGAACATGCCGGGTAGCGGGTACCCCTCATCACTTCCCTCGTCGTTTCATCCAAGTAAGTACCCATCCAGCTTTTACTTGTTTGTCCATGTGATCAGAAACTGGCCATGATAAACATGAACTAGCCACAATAAATGTGAGCAAGCCATACTAAATGTAAACAAGCCATACGTAACGTGAACTAGTCAGGATAAACGTGAACAAGCCACACTAAATGTGAACGGGCCACATGTAACACGAATTAGCCACATGTAAAATGAACTAGCCACACGTAACATCAACTAGCCACTCGTAATGTGGACTAGCCACACATAACATGGTCTAGCCAGGATAAAGAGCCTTCTAGCTGCAGCAAGTGAGATGCTCATGGTGTGTGTGTTTCCTTGTAGATGATTTCCCCCTGACCACTGCTGATGTGAGTAATGGTTACAACTCGTGGTGTGGGCAGGGCTCGCTGACTACCGGGTCTCCGCATCACTCCACCGGGCTGTCGCTGACGTCGGGGTAAGTAGCACACAATATACCTTTTGTTACCATTCATGTTTTATTTACATTGATGTGTTATAAAGAAAAGGAAATTAACGAAATTTGAGAATCACTTCATGTTTGTCCATAGCAACAGTATATGTTTCAAAATCAATCCTTTTGTACAAGACGATTACATGGAGACTTTAGTGTGTATACTACACAGCTATTTATTGGATAACACCTACATATTGTTATACATAAAAAAGAAATTTAACAAAAGCTAATCGTAAGAAAAAAATATTATTAAAGAGAATTATTGAGAATTCATTCTGTCTGAAGAAGTTACTGTGCAAATAGTATTCCATGTTGCATCTGTAAATTCAATAGTAAACATGTCTAGAGGTAATTGTCCTCTGAGATTTGTAGAAATATGCACTAGCTCAGTATCCCGGCAAACAGTCGAGTAGCATTGTTACATTGACATTGTCTGACCAAGGATGCTGTTGTTTTCAGGACAGTTCCACACACTGCCAACTCGGGTCACCATTTATCTCCCTTGGCAATCAACACAATGACACAACCTATGAATATCAAAAGCGAACCTATCTCGCCTCCACGGGACTCCACGACCCCCTCTAGTCACCACCAACAGCAACAGCAACAGCTTCGTCCTCCATCTGCGGGAACCGGGCATCTGTCGCCCGGTCACATCTCTCATAGCAACAGTTCCTCTCCGGTGAATGTACACACCAACGACTACGACGGCCCGATGGTGAAACGCTCCCGTATAGAGGGTTGGGCAACCTAGGGGAAGCTGGAGTACATCAGAGTCTCCATCTTGCTGTCTGTCTCTATCTCAATCTGCAGACACAGAGACTAACGTCGCCTGATTGGTCAGCAGGACTTGGTCAGCAGCTTGCTCATTGGCTCGCTAGCTACGGCCATCAGCTGGTCTGACCGCTACCGGAGTGGTGGACTTGTATATTGTACAGGAAGCTGCGTCAAGCAGGACAGTTATGTACTAATACGTACTTAAAATCCCATATTTTCGTACGTATGTTTCTACTCCCGTGTTTATGCGTATGATTTTGCGCATGGTGGAAGGCTACGAGCCTTTGGTGCCTTTCAGGTGGACAAACTGGATAGACGCTTTCATTTGTGTAAATATTGCTCCTGCACCTTCTGTCAATCACCAGTGATGATCACTACATATGTTTATTATCATTATTATCCAACTGTGCAGAAGTTGTTGTATCAGTTACTTATGTGGCCGTTTTGAATACACTGACAGATGAGGTGGAGTGTTTTGTTGACATATAAATGCATATATTCCCCCGTCTTGTGCCTAGTAACAACGTTGTGACATTGTAACACGACATAGTAGCTCTGGACGAGTCCGTACAGCAACGGACGGACAGATGCTATCTCAGCTAGTCTAGTGCTCACTGTCAAATAATTCAACGAAATTAAAAGTGGTAGTAGATTAGTTAACGTAGGATGAAGCCCCTCGTGAGTGGGATTAGTCAGCGACAATGAGGATTTCATATCACTGTTGTGCACACATTAGACATGAACACGTGTACGTATCCATTCCCGTAGTGGGTTGATTCTTGATGTGTACTCACCATGCAAAGGGCAAAGATGAGGAGTGACAGTCACTCAATGTTATCTTGCACCATCACACAGCTTTTTTTCTTCTCTTTGAAACACATTGTAATCCTGACCTTTGACTTTACCATGAATCACTCATATGATATTCAACGCCGACTTTTCAAATGTCAAAAATAATATGCCACCAAAATTTATAGTATTTAATAGACTCTGTTATTGATGAAGTAATGATCATAATTTGAATCTTTAGGGAATCTACTTTATAAGTTTGGAACAAATTCCAGACATTTATTATATATCTACGACACCCATGGGAGGTCGCTCTCTCATAGTAATGTGCAATATAATTAATGCCAGTGCTGACACAGCCACTTACAGACTTGGTGCCACCTCCCGACCATCTTGAAAAGTGCTTTTAATTTATTTATATGTTGAAAATTTGTTGAAGTTTGTGATGAAATAGAAGCCTGATAGGACAGTGTAAAGTGACAGAGAAACCTCGCTCGTAAACCCTGATAGACACTTTCGCTTCTTTGTACCAATATATAACTCCTAGTTGGGTAAGGAAACAACAGACTGCATGGTTCGAAGATGTGGTTCAGGTTAAGCATATCAGAGAAATGAAATAAGTCAATGATTGTAAATTCTGATGATTCCGAAATTTGGCCCGGAATACAGATGGTGTACATGTTGGAAACGTGATCGTGCTGGCCATTTGTGGACTGGCCATGCGTAGTTCAGGTGCATTTATAAAGGCTAATAGATAATTATTTTTGTATTTGTTTCATAACACCTATAGAGTATATTTTCAAACTTTTATCACAGAAGTCGATTATGCTCATATGATCTTTTAGACCTGCAGTGTAGAGGTTGTATATATTGGAGAGTCTTTAGATGACACTTTTCTAATCTACGCAAATTGTACCTTTACAACTATTTATACTTTTCAACCAGAAACTCTTTCTGATATGTTTATTTTAATTCTTCCTTGGACCATTACGACTCCTAGTCCTTGTCTGTTACTCTGTATATGAAAAGATTAAGTTTTCATATTTTTGCATACTTTCCTATTCCTTGTATATTTTAGCATTTATAAACAGTTTGATATCAGGGATGATAATTTTCTGTTAAAAGTTGAAATTATAGGTGATAGCCTCATCTATGAATGTTGTACAAACTATTACTATTTAATTTCCTTGAGACGGTTGATTGTTCCCTCTCTCCTCTGTTAATCAACTGATATTAGGAATAAGTTGAGTGCTTTTACTAAGATCAACTGTGATATTCAAATGATGGCTATTTCTTGAGTGAGTGTTCTATATGTTGCCTTAGCGATAATATGTTACTATGGTTACTAGGCATGTTACAGAATGTGTATATCAGGTAGCACTGGCTTGGCAGCTCCACAATTGCAAACTGACTCTGGTCTTGACAAGTGTTGACACTTCAAACTATGAAATATTTCCGCAGTAATTGCTGTTTGGATTTCCCTGATGCTGTCCCATCACTTACCATAAGATGTCACTTTGCAATTGAAAAGCTGAGAAATGTGTATAGTTACTCAGGCAATATAATGTGTTACTTCTGTGTTTTACTAGGACGTGTCAGTGGCATTGTTAAGGTCATGGTACCATGACGTGTTAGCGGGCTGACTGGAGGAGGGGCGTGGCTTCTGACTGTGTTAACAAAAGCATTGAAGGAGAGTTGTTCCAATTGAAGGACTTTACATAATGAAAAAGTGCTTTTAACTATTAATATGTTTGTATACCATTATGAATGGTTTAATTGTTGCAAAACTTGCAAGAATTTTGTATGTATAAATATTTTTGTGCTGTAGTATACTCGTTGCCAAGTAAGTTATTGTAAAATGATAGTGTATGTGTTTTGTACCGTGTACTTGGATCACACAAGAGAAATTCAATATGGCAGCACTCAGGCGAGGAAATGAAAAACTACATGTTTCTACTCAAAGATGGCATGATAGTACTGGTGGCACATCATGTGAAGTGTTGGGCGCTGGTGGCACATCATGTGAAGCGTTGGGCGCTGGTGGCACATCATGTGAAGCGTTGGGTGCTGGTGGCACATGTGAGGCGTTGGGTGCTGGTGGCACATGTGAGGCGTTGGGCGCTGGTGGCACATGTGAAGCGTTGGACGCTGGTGGCACATGTGAAGCGTTAGAAGCTGGTGCACGTCACGTCATGTTGGCGCTGGTGGCATAGCTGGTGGCGCGCGTGGCACGTCATGTGAGGCATTGGGCGCTGGTGGCACATCATGCAATGCATTGGCAATGCTAGGCTTGTGTCACATGAGGTGTTACTAGGCCTGTGTCAAATGTCACGTGAGACGCTGCTAAGCTTGTGTCACGTGTCACCTGAGGCGTTGCTAGACTTGTGTCACATGAAGCGCTGCTAGATTTGCTTCCTATGAGGCATTGCTAGGCTTGTCTTACATGAGATGTTTGCAAGACTGGCGTCCCGCTACTGGTGTAGGTGCAGTGTCAGAGCCAGTAAGATGCTAGCTTCTCACAGCAAGGTGACTGCTGGGTACAGGAGTGGTGGGTGTTGATGGCTCCTGGGGACAACCCATGTGTTGTTCCCCCACAAATATGTCAGGTGTAACAACAGGTATGAAGCAAAATTCTGTTTACAGACTTTAGCATCAAAATGAATTCTTCACACATTTATTGAGACATTTATGTGATTTTGATTTAAATCAACACAGAATAATCATTAGGTGTTAAGTGTTTGTGTATGACAGTCCTCCAGGATTGGGGCATTGTGTCATAGACCCTGGAGGAGAGTCACCAATGCTCACCCACATGTACCAAGCACCCCTCTGCTTTCTATTTATTTCTGCAGTGGTCATGTCAGTGGGAAGTCACAAGCTGTTCCAATCCTTTACAGTGAACTTCAGATGTCCCTTGCTTGTCTTGTAATATGAATTCAAATGGGTCTATGTACATCAGGGATCCGTCCCACAGCTGTTGTAGCGCTACAACATCCGAAGCCTATGTTAAATCATGGGAGGTACGATCATTGCAGTGCTGCGACCGCATCAGGGAATGGGACCCTGTCCTGTGATCTGATACTGTAACATGTGCAGAATTAATCAATTTGTTTTCCGGAAACCACTGATTTCTTGGTATGTTGACTGGCAGTTGTTGCCCCTATACTGACATGGCCGTCTGCACCCGAAGCTGATGTTAACCAATGACTTCCTTCTCCCTCTGCTGTATATTCTCATTGTCCACACAGTGTAGCCCGTATCTGTCAGGGGTAGTGTGTGTGCTGCCTGGTGGGCCGCACCAGAGTGGATACAAGTGATGTTTGCAATGACCAGCTTTAACTTTATGAAGGAAAGGTGCACTTGAGATATTGCCAGACATTAGCTACTCATACATTGTTTGTACACATCTTGTACTTGGGATGTTACCATGGAAACTGGTTGTCGGTCTCATGACTGATTGGTTGATGTACGAGCCAATCAGAGTTCTGTAGCAGACAATGCTTGTTCTATCTTGTAATGCTTCAAAGGTTTCAGGATAATAAATCAGTTTTGATTTAGATTTGTTTTCACATTTTCAAGGTTTCAAATGCATTTCATGCATGTTTATGAAAACTTGTGTATCTTTGTGTGTGAAAGAACGAGTACAATGCTGTCTCTGTGATCAGTTAGACAGGCAGTGTCTGCATACAGGTGAGGTGTGAGGCGGTTCTACTTTGAAGTGTCCAAATACAGGAGTGCTAATGGGGTGGGGAGAGGGGTGGAGGTTTTCATTGAGGTAAAGTGTCTGCATACAGGTGAGATATTGGGTGTGATTCCACTTTAAGGTGAAGTGTCTGAATACAGGTACGGCAGAGGGGGTAGGGGTGAGATGCTTTTTATAAAGTGTTGGGGTGGGTGGGTTACCTTGATATGGTAGAGGAGTAGGGGGGATACCCTGATATGGTAGAGGAATGGGGGTGGATACCTTAATATGGTAGAGGAATGGGATGGATACCTTGATATGGTGAGATGATTGGGGGTGGATGCCTTGATATGGAAGAGGAATGGGGATACCTTGATATAGTAGAGGAATGGGGGGATGCCTTGATATTGTAGAGGAATGGGGTGGATACCTTGATATGGTAGAGGAATGGGGGGGGGGTTCATTCATATGGTAGAGGAATGGGGGGATACCTTGATATAGTAGAGGAATGGGGTGGATACCTTGATATGGTAGAGAAATGGGGGGATACCTTGATATGGTAGGGAAATGGGGTGGATACCTTGATATGGTAGAGGAATGGGGTGGATACCTTGGTGATTGTCAGAAAGACTGGGAAAATGTGCAAAAGGTGTGCTGATGGAGGAAAAGGGTGGTTGCTTTTAATGGGAGAACAAAGGTGGAAGAAGAGACAATGCCTTTAAGAAGTTGAATTTAGGGATGGTAATTGGTAAAGACAGTCATTTAGGAAGGTTGCAACTGTAACTGTTAAGGAGGGGGGGCAGATAGAAGCTGACTTTGAGACAGGGACATGGGGAGGCAGTTATATTTGGTGGCTCCCAGCTATTGGTGCTGTACAGCTGTGTAACACACACATGTAACACACACATGTAAACATGGCAACTGGCTTGTGTATGTCACTATGTTCACTATGCTCGTTGAAGGTCTCAGTCATCTTAGACAGGATGGTACTAAACAATTAAACTTGTTGAAGTGCAATTCCACTCTGTTGTTTTTTCTTGAGTACTGACAGATGTGCTGATGACATCAGACGTAAATCCTGTATGTTTCTTGTGGCTGTTGTCAAGTTAATATGCCAAATGTTGGTCTTGCGTACTGTGTTTAAAACCAAGCTGTCACACCTCTGAAGATGGTGACATAATGTCATCATACAGGTGTGGACTGTGGTTACACCTTTTTGTCATACAGGTGTGTGGAGCATGGTTACACCATGTTGTCATACAGGTGTGGACTGTGGTTACACCTTTTTGTCATATAGGTGTCTGGAATGTGGTTACGCCTTGTTGTCATACAGGTGTCTGGACCATGGTTACACCTTGTTGTCATACAGGTGTGGACTGTTATACCTTGTCATGCAGGTGTCTGGACTGTAGTTACACCTTGTCATACAAGTGTCTGGACTGTGGTTACACCTTGGTGTCATACAGGTGTCTGGACCATGGTTACACCATGTCATACAGGTGTGTACTGTGGTTACACATCATTTAGGTGTCTGGACCATGGTTACACCTTGTTGTCATACAGGTGTCTGGACCATGGTTACACCTTGTCATACAGGTGTTTTGACTCTGGTTTCACCTTGTCATACAAGTATCTGGACCATGGTTACACCTTGTCATACAGGTGTCTGGACTGTTCAACCTTGTCATACAGGTGTCTGGACTGTTGTCATACAGATGACCATCGTTACTTATACACACAGTATGGGAAGTCCAGGATACTTACACAGTATGGGAAGTCCAGGATACTTACACAGTATGGGAAGTCCAGGATACTTACACACAGTATGGGAAGACCAGGATACTTACACACAGTATGGGAAAGCCAGAATACTTATACACACAGTATGGGAATGCCAGGTTACTTACACACAGTATGGGGGAGGATGCTTACAGGAATACTATACACACAGTATGGGAAGGCCAGGATACTTACACACAGTATGGGAAGGCCTGAATACTTATACATACAGTATGGGAAGGCCAGGATACTTACACACAGTATGGGAAGACACAGTATGGGAAGGCCAGGATACTTACACACAGTATGGGAAGACCAGGATACTTACACACAGAGTATTGGAAGGCCTGAATACTTATACACACAGTATGGGAAGGCCAGGATACTTACACACAGTATGGGAAGGCAAGGATACTTACAGTATGGGAAGGCCTGAATACTTATACACACAGTATGAGAAGGCCAGGATACTTACACACAGTATGGGAAGGCCTGAATACTTATACATGTACACACAGTATGGGAAGGCCAGGATACTTACACACAGTATGGGAAGTCCAGGATACTTACACACAGTATGGGAAGTCCAGGATACTTACATACAGTATGGGAAGTACAGGATACTTACACACAGTACGGAAAGGCCAGGATACTTACACTTACACACAGTATGGGAAGGCCAGGATACTTGAACACAGTATGGGAAGAACAGGATACTTACATACAGTATGGGAAGTCCAGGATACTTACACACAGTATTGGAAGTCGAGGATACTTACATACAGTATGGCAAGTCAAGGATACTTACACACAGTATGGGAAGTACAGAATATTTACACACAGTATGGGAAGGCCAGGATAGTTACATACAGTATGGGAAGCCCAGGATACTTACACACAGTATGGGAAGGCCAGGATACTTACACACAGTATGGGAAGGCCAAGATACTTACACACAGTATGGGAAGGCCAGGATACTTACATACAGTATGGGAAGGCCAGGATAGTTACATACAGTATGGGAAGCCCAGGATACTTACACACAGTATGGGAAGGCCAGGATACTTACACACAGTATGGGAAGCCCAGGATACTTACACACAGTATGGGAAGGCCAGGATACTTACACACAGTATGGGAAGGCCAAGATACTTACACACAGTATGGGAAGGCCAGGATACTTACATACAGTATGGGAAGGCCAGGATACTTACACACAGTATGGGAAGGCCAGGATACTTACATACAGTATGGGAAGCCCAGGATACTTACACACAGTATGGGAAGGCCAGGATACTTACACACAGTATGGGAAGGCCAAGATACTTACATACAGTATGGGAAGGCCAGGATACTTACACACAGTATGGGAAGGCCAGGATACTTACACACAGTATGGGAAGTACAGAATACTTACACACAGTATGGGAAGGCCAGAATAGTTACATACAGTATGGGAAGGCCAGGATACTTACACACTGTATGGGAAGGCCAGGATACTTACACACAGTATGGGAAGGCCAGGATACTTACACACTGTATGGGAAGGCCAGGATACTTACACACAGTATGGGAAGGCCAGGATACTTACATACAGTATGGGAAGGCCAGGATACTTACACACAGTATGGGAAGGCCAGGATACTTACACACTGTATGGGAAGGCCAGGATACTTACACACAGTATGGGAAGGCCAGGATACTTACATACAGTATGGGAAGGCCAGAATAGTTACATACAGTATGGGAAGGCCAGGATACTTACACACTGTATGGGAAGGCCAGGATACTTACACACAGTATGGGAAGGCCAGGATACTTACATACAGTATGGGAAGGCCAGGATACTTACACACAGTATGGGAAGGCCAGGATACTTACATACAGTATGGGAAGGCCAGGATACTTACACACAGTATGGGAAGGCCTGAATACTTACACACAGTATGGGAAGTCCAGGATACTTACACACAGTATGGAAAGGCCTGAATACTTATACACACAGTATGGGAAGGCCAGGATACTTACACACAGTATGGGAAGTCCGGGATACTTACACACAGTATGGAAAGGCCTGAATACTTATACACACAGTATGGGAAGGCCAGGATTCTTATACACACAGTATGGGAAGGCCAGGATACTTACACACAGTATGGGAAGGCCAGGATACTTACACACAGTATGGGAAGTCCGGGATACTTACACACAGTATGGAAAGGCCTGAATACTTATACACACAGTATGGGAAGGCCAGGATACTTACACACAGTATGGGAAGGCCAGGATACTTATACACACAGTATGGGAAGGCCAGGATACTTACACACAGTATGGAAAGGCCTGAATACTTACACACAGTATGGTAAGGCCAGGATACTTACACACAGTATGGGAAGGCCAGGATACTTACACAGAGTATGGGAAGGCCTGAATACTTACACACAGTATGGGAAGGCCAGGATACTTACACACAGTATGGGAAGGCCAGGATACTTACACACTGTATGGGAAGGCCAGGATACTTACACACAGTATGGGAAGGCCAGGATACTTACACACACAGTATGGGAAGGCCAGGATACTTACACACAGTATGGGAAGGCCAGGATACTTACACACAGTATGGGAAGGCCAGGATACTTACACACAGTATGGGAAGGCCAGGATACTAACACACACAGTATGGGAACTCCAGGATACTTACACACAGTATTGGAAGGCCTGAATACTTACACACAGTATGGGAAGGCCAGGATACTTACACACAGTATGGGAAGGCCAGGATACTTACACACAGTATGGGAAGGCCAGGATACTTATACACACAGTATGGGAAGGCCAGGATACTTACACACAGTATGGGAAGGCCAGGATACTTACACACAGTATGGGAAGGCCTGAATACTTACACACAGTATGGGAAGGCCAGGATACTTACACACAGTATGGGAAGGCCAGGATACTTACACACAGTATGGGAAGGCCAGGATACTTGCACACAGTATGGGAAGGCCAGTATACTTACACACAGTATGGGAAGGCCAGGATACTTACACACAGTATGGGAAGGCCAGTATACTTACACACAGTATGGGAAGGCCAGGATACTGACACACAGCATGGGAAGGCCAGGATACTTACATAATACTGACACACACAGTATAGACTGGGAACAGTTACACATTATGAAGCATATTTCGTGAGAAAACCTAATGTATTTCAGTGGACTGAAGCGTTTCTTTCCATCATGTGACAGAGACACTACTGCAGTAAAAACACATTACAATAATGATGCTGTGGGTCTATGTGCATTTTTAAATTTCAAAATTCCAGATTTAATGAAGACAAAAACCCAACATGTCATGGCAGCTGGGTGAAGTCTTGGACGCTGCATTCTCTGTGTAGACGCGTCCCAGGTTTCACTAATCATGGGTTTGAATCCCAGGTTCTCACTTGTTTCTTGGTTTGTCCCGTCCACAACCAACATATCAGCCAGTGTTACAGATCAAACAACCTGTATCTCATGGAGCTGACATAGTAGATATAACAGAGGTAATGCCGAGGTTGTGTTGAACCAATTGGACCACTACTTCCCTCCCTTCTCAGCCCACACCATGTCTCCCTATAAGGGGGCGGTGGGGTAGCCTAGTGGTAAAAGCGTTGGCTCGTCACGCCGAAGACCCGGGTTCGATTACCCACATGGGCACAATGTGTTAAGCCCATTTCTGGTGTCCCCCGCCGTGATATTGCTGGAATATTGCTAAAAGCGGCGTAAAACCAAACTCAGTCAGTCAGTCAGTCAGTCTCCCTATAAGAGTATGGCTTTCTTAAAGCTTGTTTTCCTCTAGCTTGAATGACTGATTGTTTAACACTACACTCAACTATTCTAGCTATATGAAGGTGGTCTGTATACAGTTAGGTCTTGATGAAACAGTCCAATGACTGATATCATGAACACTGATCCACTCCATATCATGCCATGATGTCCTACCAGCCAAGTCACAGAGCCTGTCCACCAGATCTAGTGAGTTACTGACAAGCTGGGGATCTGCATCCTTACCCCAAATCCCAATGGGTCTTCTCCTCAAGAAATGAAGGACAAAATGGACCATTGATGTAACAGTGTATTCCTCACACACTTCCTTGGATCATGACATTGTTCGTGTTGTGTACAGCACTTGTGGTCAAAGGGAAGTAACTCTGACATCCACAACTATTCCAGTTTTACACCGCACTCAGCAATATTCCAGCTATGTGGTAGGGGTCTGTAAATAATCGCGTCTGGACCAGACAATCCAGTGATCAACAGCATGAGCATCGATCTGCACAATTGGGAACTGAAGACATGTGTCAACCAAGCCAGCGAGCCTGGCCACCCGATCCCGTTAGTCGCCTCTTACAACAAGCATGGGGTGTTGAAGATTCATTCTAACCCGGACCTTCATGGGTATCCAAAATTGAAACAATTCACAACAAACCAGCACAGAAGATGGTTTATGTATAATATATTCAATGCATATAAAATGATTTTATACAAATATTGCCAGTATTAAGAATGAGGATGACAATGTTATATACAAGTGCAAGAGAAATTCCCTTTGCTCATGTAACTACTGACATAATTATAGTGTCGAGACCTGGAGACATGAGCAGACTTAATGGAGATACTGTACATGTTCTGTAGAATTTACCGTAATACAATATGATGAATATTTTTATCCTTTATCATTTGGCGCACAGAGAAAACAAAAATGACTTTATCATTAACAAAGAAGTGAAATGTGTGAGCTACATCTATCATTGAAGTTACTGAGAAGAAATTAGAAATCCTGATGCAATAACACTAGTGTGGACATTGACAACCAACAGGATGATTTTGAGACTTAAAGAGTTTAAAGGTGTCTAAATAGTAGACTCGAGGAATGTCTATTCAGTAGGGATGTCACGATACATAAGTTTCATGAATCGATATGTATCACGATACCCATGTCACAATTTGATACGTATCACAATACCTATTTTCGCAGCATTATTGCGTAAATTTAGTTACAGTTTGAACAATAATATTTCTTATTTTAAAATAGTCCATGAAAAGATCAACATTTTTTATTCTCAGAGATTAAAAAGTTTTAATTTCCCATCTTTGTGCATGAGAAATAATCATTTATAACTCTCATAACATAAAAAAACATGATACAATTGCAAAATGTAAACGATACATAAACATATTTAAACCGATACTTTCAAAACTAAATATTGATACAGTTTTAAATGTACTGATAATAGTATCGTCTTTAAAAAAGTATCGTTGCATCGTGGCATCCCTACCATTCAGTGATTGACAGTGTTTTGGCTGTATGTCACATGACTGCAATCCCTGACTGCAGGGTAGAAAGAAGATGACAGCTGTTGAGTAATGATGCCAAGCTGAGAACACTAAGGTATGAACAATTGTGGCAAAAACCATTTCAGTCATTGTTACAATCCGAACGACAGTACTCCACACACCTGTAACAAACCCTGCATGATGCAAACACCTGTAGCTGGCACCAGGAACAAGGTCCAGGCCACTATGTGTGTTTGTCAGGGATTCCAGCAGTACTACAAGTGGCATGTACCAGGAATGTTCCAGCTGAGCCCCGCTCCAGACCAGGGGCTCGGGTTGCATGCAGTGATACAAGCATATCTGTCATACGAATATAACACAATTAAAGCAGCTGAAACTTTCACTGTGGGCTCATGGACTTTACAATACTCCTCTGGAGGTATTTTGGATAATATTTAATAGTTCCTTGGGACACAGTATTCATAACTGTCCTAGCACCTGCTTCCTTCTTTCCATGATGGGGAACACTGTATTGATACTTGTACTAGCATTGTTTCTCTGGCTAGAGTTCCTGTGTGTGTGAGGGGAGAGGGTGGGTGGGGAAATATGGGAAGGATGGGGAGGGGGAAGGGTCAGGACTTGTGCATGTTTCTCATGAACTGAAAGAAGAGATAATGTGAATAGCCATTAATGGACTCCAGCAAAACTTGAAATGCATAGATTGCTCTGTGGCAGCCCACAAGAAGAGCCTGACACACTGAGGACAACACTGTACAGACTTGTTGGGCTAGCACGGTGGACTACCGAACAGGACTGAGGTATGGTTGCAGAATACTGTACAGAATGGTTGTACCAACCCAGGAGAACGCTTTACAGGACTGTTGTACCAGCCCAAATAAACATTGTACAGGACAGTTGTACAAGCCAAGCAGAACACTGTACAGGACTGTTGTACTAGTCAAACAGAACAGTGTACAGGACTGTTGTACTAGCCCAGTTGAACATTGTACAGGACTGTTGTACTAGCCCAGGGGAACATTGTACAGGACTGTTGTACTAGCACAGTGGAACATTGTACAGGACTGTTGTACTAGCCCAGGGAATCTTTGTACAGGACTGTTGTACTAGCCCAGGGGAACACTGTACAGGACAGTTGTACTAGCCCAGGGGAACACTGTACAGGACAGTTGTTCTAGCCCAGTGGAACATTGTACAGGACAGTTGGACTAGCCCAGAGAAACACTGTACAGGACTGTTGTACTAGCCCAGGGGAACACTGTACAGGACAGTTGGACTAGCCCAGGGGAACATTGTACAGGACAGTTGGACTAGCCCAGGGAAACATTGTACAGGACAGTTGGACTAGCCCAGGGGAACACTGTACAGGACTGTTGGACTAGCCCAGGGGAACATTGTACAGGACAGTTGGACTAGCCCAGGGAAACATTGTACAGGACAGTTGGACTAGCCCAGGGAAACACTGTACAGGACAGTTGGACTACAGGACAGTTGGACTAGCCCAGGGTACAACATTAGCCCAGGGAAACACAGGACAGTTGGACTAGCCCAGGGAACATTGTACAGGACTGTTGTACTAGCCCAGTGGAACATTGTACAGGACAGTTGGACTTGGACTACAGGACTGTTGGACTAGGGGAACATTGTACAGGACATTGTACAGGACAGTTGTACTTGTACTACAGCCCAGTGGAACATTGTACAGGACAGTTGGACTAGCCCAGGGAAACGCTGTACAGGACTGTTGGACTAGCCCAGGGGAACACTGTACAGGACAGTTTGACTAGCCCAGGGGAACATTGTACAGGACAGTTGTACTAGCCCAGGGGAACATTGTACAGGACAGTTGGACTAGCCCAGGGGAACATTGTGCAGGACTGTTGTACTAGCCCAGGGGAACACTGTACAGGACTGTTGGACTAGCCCAGGGGAACATTGTACAGGACTGTTGTACTAGCCCAGGGGAACACTGTACAGGACAGTTGGACTAGCCCAGGGGAACACTGTACAGGACTGTTGGACTAGCCCAGGGAAACACTGTACAGGACAGTTGTTCTAGCCCAGGGGAACATTGTACAGGACAGTTGTACTAGCCCAGGGGAACATTGTACAGGACAGTTGGACTAGCCCGGGGAACATTGTACAGGACAGTTGGACTAGCCCAGGGAAACACTGTACAGGACAGTTGTACTAGCCCAGGGGAACATTGTACAGGACTGTTGTACTAGCCCAGGGGAACATTGTACAGGACTGCTGTACTAGCCCAGGGGAACATTGTACAGGACTGTTGTACTAGCCCTGGGGAACATTGTACAGGATTGTTGTACTAGCTCAGCGGAACGTTGTACAGGACTGTTGTACTAGCCCAGGGGAACATGGTACAGGATTGTTGTACTAGCTCAGCGGAACGTTGTACATGACTGTTGTACTAGCCCAGGGAAACACTGTATAGGACTGTTGTACTAGCCTAGGGAAACATTGTACAGGACTCTTGTACTAGTCCAGCGGAACATTGTACAGGACTGTTGTACTAGCTCAGCGGAATGTTGTACAGGACTGTTGTACTAGCCCAGCGGAACACTGTCCAGGTCTGTTGTACTAGTCCAGCGGAACACTGTACAGTTTGATAGGATGAAGAATTTTTTTATCTCTTCGTTATAAGAAATGAAACAGTAATAATCTAAATTAGGTAAATACTTGTTTTCATGGACCCCAAAAAAGCAACATCAGACTGCCTAATCTGCCTGAAATCAATATTTGTATACCTATAATGTCTCAGACAGCACACTCTTTTCTTGCCATATTACAAAAATTTCATAGCTTATGACATCAAGCTATATAACACTATCCCTTATAACATACTTTTTCATGTTATATAACATCAGTTTTAGTGTATTACATAACAATGCCCTTAATAACATGCAATATCATCCTGTATAAAGACTATATAACATTATGAGGGGATGGCAGAAACATTCTGGTTAGTTGCTACTTATTACACAATCCCCTAACAGGTACATCCACTTCTGTGGTTGGTCTACATAGATCTGATGGTGTAAAAGGCTGGTTATCTCCAAAACCCTCTACATGCCATAACTTCTACAAAAGGTCAAGGCAGAATTATGCATATACCTATGGGTATAATGGAACAGCCCAGGGGTGGGATTATAGAGGGAGGAGTTGGGAGTAGAGGATTACAGGAGCAGAGGATTACCAGAGTAGAGGATTAAAACAGGTCCATGCTCCAGAAGACAGCACTAAGATACACTTTGTCAGCAGCTTAAGAAAGAAATCCACACAAGAGACTGTCCAGATGTCATCCCCATACAATGACGAGGTTACCAGACAAAAAGATGTTCGATTCCTGCCATCTTTCCCCTCCATGAGCAGCACCCTGTACAGACATAAAAAGAACATCCCAGCACTTCCGCAGACAAGATCCGAGGTTGATCTCAACGGCGCCTGGACAGATACAGCTCATGGAGACCTTTCCTTCTGTTTAGTGATGGGGACGACAAGATGCTAGTCTTTGCAACAAGTGAGCTATCAAATACTGACATATTACATGTTATAATATCTATATGTCAACAAACATCATGCACCTATTGCCTCTTGTACTTTAATTCAACTTGATCTGAAGCCTAATTAAGCCTAGCTAGTGGGACTAGTCCATCCAGTGCACTTGAGGTAAGGGACAGGGGATTAGGAGTGCACTGGACCATGTATTTTGTTGTTTTAGTCTGTAGAAGTTTTGGCATGCAGAAATTTTGGCAGGACACCAGAAGGCTTCCTCCTGCTGATGTACAAGGCTTGGTCCTGCTGGTGTTGAAATTCACCCACAGCAAGATATGACATCATCATCATTTGCATAATGCTTGTCAGACAGTTCTTTCTTCATGTTTGGGAAGACGCTGAAATCTGACGCGTGAAAATCTGGTGAGAATGTTCACAGTTCACAGTTGGCAACCATGACAACAACAGACTTGTACTCCTCATGGAACACAGCTCGCTTTGTAAATTTCAAATGATATAAACCTTGAAATTTTCAAGCAGTTGCCTCAACAGATAAGCCCAGTATATGGTTAAATATGGTTCAAGAATATAGAGGATGCCTGGTCACTTAGATGTCTGCTGAAATAGGCTGCTTAGTTGTGGCCATGGTTCCACTGCCATCTGTACAACACAAGGCAAGTATTTCACTTCAACTATACACATCCTGGTTGTTGGCAGATATCTCAATCATATAGAAAAACATCCTACACACAACATCATTCTTTGATAATAACAACATTCTTGGTAAATGGTTCATTTTGCATGTCATTTACAGATGGAATCCTCTAGTTAACACACACGCTGTTATCCATTGATATTTTAGGAGTGTCACATTTCAATAGCCGAATGATACACATAACGACTTGTGACATATTGTGGTAACATCAACTCCTGACAATTGTTCTGGTACAGGGATCTGAGAAAGTCAGACATGGCACATCGTATCACTACATCTCTCACATGGCATAGTCATATTTTCACGTTTCATTCTTATGTTATATATCATGATGCCTCAATAATATACATTTTTCTTGTATAAGATGGAACATTTCTTACATATTCTTCAAGATTCATTGTACAAATATTAAAACTAATTGTGACATGGAAATACCTTCTTTGTGGAACCACAACATCCAACCCTAACCCGAGGTTCTACGATCTACTCCAGGGCCCTTATTCTCGAAATGTTCGTAGCCCTAAGATTTAACTTTGATCGTAGCCAATGTGTTAAGAATGGGCTTTAAAGTTCACAGGGCTACGAACGTTTCGAGAATAGCTAGCCCGGCATAAATACCCCCTCCGTTGCCTCCTCTACTGCAAGGCTTTATATATACATATATATCATCTTGATAACACGAACATCCATAACAGATATATGGCACATTGTCCAGGTGGAACCGTCACCATGGTAACTTCTCCTGTACTTGTATGTATGTTGTGATCCTAGAAAATCCTTCTACATTGTTTAGTTATATCACAGAAGCAGTAAATGTTTCCACCACTTGAATCCAGGTGTTTCAGACCTGTGTTGTAATGCTATCTAAATGTAGATACTTTCATTAATATTCTAACAAAAACAGCAAAAAAATACATTATTGTAACTATATGATTCAAACATTGTTCTGATCAGTCCAGAAAAACAATATTTACCAATGAACAGCATAACAATTAATATCATAGCTGACTTCATACAGTTATTTATAGGTGGTAACATACTCGGGTATGTTAAGGAGATTTGAAACCTCTGATTGACCAATCAGATTCAACCATTCCTCACAGCTCACTACAATGGTCTGACATTATGACAATATTATTACTAGGAAAATCCTAAAATGTGAAATAATAACATACAAAAATAGGTGGTGGAGAACTTAGTGAGCTGGATTGTATGAAATGTGAACTAACCTTAGTGCATGTAGTTACAAGTATTTACACTGATCCCTGAGTGCAGAATGTGACCAAAAAGGCATGTGTTAGGGCAACCTTTTTTAAGAAAAGATGTTTAGATTTAAATTGATTTTGTGGAATGTGGGTCTATTAAATGTCTGGCTGACACCAACTATGGTAAATCATAGTGACAGAGTAAGCATGCCATCGACAGTGATATGCTCCAAAATGCATCAAATGACAATAAAAGTTAATCGTATTCAGACTTGCTAAACGTCATGAAGAAAACATTTCTTGATCAGAATGGGTCATAACACATCCCTTAAACAGTCATTCCTCCAACATATGTCGTTAACACTAAAGCGGAGTAGTGCCACCTGGTGTTCTGTTCTGGAACACTGACCTACAGCAGCTGGTGTCCACTGAAGTCCATTTGTAAAAGAGATTTGGTGTCTTTTCTTTTCTATTTATACCTGCATGTGATGTTCACTGACATTTCTTTTTCAAGCTGATTATATATTCCATAACATAATAGATATAAACAAATTTTTAAAAAAAATGCAACATTTTCTTCATCAAATCTGACCCACCTGCTTTTGTTTGATGTATGTTTTGAAGGCATGGTCGTTCATATATAGAATAGGATTGAAACTCTAATGACATATACAGTCCTTGACACTAAGTGGTATATCTGCCCAGCCATTAGTCTAAGGGAGACAACCCTCACTCCAACGACATATACAGTCCTTGATACTAAGTGGTATGTGTTGCCCAGTCATTAGTCTAAGGGAGACAACCCTCACTCCAACGACATATACAGTCCTTGACACGAAGTGGTATGTGTTGCCCAGCCATTAGTCTAAGGGCGACAACCCTCATTCCAACGACATATACAGTCCTTGACACGAAGTGGTATGTGTTGCCCAGCCATTAGTCTAAGGGAGACCACCCTCATTCCAACGACATGTACAATCCTCGACACGAAGTGGTATGTGTTGCCCAGCCAATAGTCTAAGGGAGACAACCCTTAATGCGATCATAGTTTTTGACTGTGAGGGCAAAGAGAGTCAAACAGAGGACAATGTGAGCCTGCGATGAATGGACCATACATTGTCCAACAGCTAATACACAAAAGTTAATAAAGTAATGAACATAACATAATACTTAATATTAAACTTGAAATACATTTGAAAAACCCTGAGTGGCCCAAGTGTTCCATAACTCTGACTGATGGTGCAGGTTCTACTGCCAAAATCAGTTACATTTAAAAGTTTAAATTCAAATTAATAGACACTGAAGAAAACTTGCTACATGTCTTTACAGTACTCTGCTATATAGATTATTCTAATGGACTAAAATACGGTTATTATCAGGGAATGATTATTACTTTCGAGGCAGGAAAAGGTACTTAGAAACACCAGGAAGCTAACAACATAAGGAGATTGACATGTACGACAGTTGTGATGTTGTGTAGCTGCATGTCATGGAGGTCTCACGCTGCTCCAGCACACACTGCTTCACTACACTGACATGCCGCTACAGTCTGCTACAGCAGGTTGCTACAGTAACCTATACAGTGAACTAGGAAATTGGCCCTCAGGAAGCATGTCAGTTGAACTATACATACTTCAACTATTGCAACAATCAAACGATCTCCCTGTTATTTCTGTGTAGTATATATAATTTCCCAAAGCTTGCCTTTCACCAAGTGAGAACTGGGCAAGGCACACATGCTGATTAGTGGAGACAAGAGTTCTCATACTGCTTAATACGATCGACTGCATTATGCCCATTCAACACAAACAGTTATTGTAATAAATAAATATTTCTTTTACCTCAAATATAAATGATTTCTGAATGTGCAGTTAATATTTGCTAGTTATAATTTGCTAGTTATCTACCCTTGCTAACAGTCCATACTGCTCAGTGGCAGCAAGTACCGCTATGTTTCCAGTTTAACCAGGTTCACACAGCTCTGTCAATCTAACAACAAGGTTTGGGTACTGTTTTCTTAGTCTTTTAAGCCAGGATGAACACATCCCTCTCTGCTTTGATCTCTTTGAGCCCAAATCCAAAGTTAATGCCTTTAGAAAGTTACAAGTAAACTACTGTTGCTAAGAAAATGACAAAATGATTATTGGAAAGAGAATTCTATCACCCTGAAGTACCATTGTATTTTGTGGCTTGTGGAAGTACTTGGCCTTGAGATAAACGGGAAGGCAACCTGTTCCACAACAAACATTTGCATTTACACAATCAACATTGTTGTAACCATTTTGTGTACTGTTTGGAACACAGTGATGACAGTAGTTCCCTGATACAAATATCACCAAGTCAACGCTCTGTTCAGCTGGTTCAGTGCATGTTGACGGAACAAAGTCTGTGGTAGTCAGGGAACACTGACCATAGCTGTATGCACAGGCTCAATCACAGCATAGAATAGTAAAGGCATGGATTTAGCACTCTCATAATCACAGTGAAATCCTTGATGACGGGAGAGACTGCATCAAGCTCAGGGTGTCCCTGCCCCCCCCCCCCAGTACTGGACATCGTCTACTCCTCCTGCCACTGCTGGTGGAGAGTATGAAGATGGTCCGCTGCCCGCTGACTGATGTTGAGAGCAGGATGGAGGGATGCGAGGCCAGGCTCCTTCATCAGCGACAAGCCACAGATGCCAAAATAGGCATGGAGAGCATCTAAAACATCACAAAACAACACAGTACATCAACTTCATCTCCTGTCACATGAATGGAAATGAGGTGGGGAGGGGGTGAGGTGAAATTGGATTTATCGTCGTGCTTGAGAATATTTCGCTCATATGACGACGTGCATGTGTGTGTGTATGTGTATGTGTGGCTACTTGTACTAGCCCAGACTGAAGCTGGTTTAATAGTGCTAGCCCACTGAGATACCATGCCGCAGTGAAGCATGAATACCCCACTCAAACACATTATACTGACTCCGAGCCTTGTTGTACCCATTAATGCCGAGAGCCAGGCAGGGACCAACAAGTACCATATTTTAACGTCTTTTGGTATGACTCGGTCGGGGATCGAACCCATGACCTTCCGCTCTCCGGGCGGACGCTCTAACCACTACACCACGGAGGCGGTCGAATGGAAATGAGTCACTGAACAGAATCATAACAGAGGACATAAAGAATTGCATATTCTATGACTGTGGGTAATCAAACCTTTGGCCTGACCAGCTGGACCCACTGGACTACACGCTAGCACCTAAATGACACTAGATATCTTAGAGCACAACATTCAGCTGGGGTGTCCTGTACTCTGGGAGCTATGGACAGTATTCTGATGTGGTTCACATCATGTCAACAGAGGTTTAGTAAATTCATAACATGTGAAGCAGCAGATCCTGACATGGTAAAGGGACACTACTGTGTACTCACAGTTTTAAACATTTATCACATTATTAAAGTAAGAGATAAACACACTGTGTAAATATTGCTGCCTGGGGCTAGTACTGAGGTTGTGTTCACGTACCAGGACTGCTTTCTGGCCATTTTGCGAAGCCACCTGTCACATTGGACTGAGTTTGCAGGATGTAGGAACGGTTGAATTCAAAATTTGATAATTCAAAAGTATCTAGCAGCTGAAATGGAAAGAAATCAGAGTAGAATAAAACAATTAAAGGTAGATAATTATAAAGCAGCTGAAATAGAAAGAAATCAGAGTAGAATAATACAGTTAAGGGAGATAATTTATAAGGGGAGAGCAACCAAGTAAGAAATGACTTCAGAGGTTCTGGTGGTATTACATGTTGCTCCGTATTGATACTGGAAAAGTTGCTAATTAAACTGGCAAATGATCAAATTAACACAATAACTTTAAATATGTAATTTTTAGAGTAAAATTGATATTTTATACTTATCCTGACTCATGCTCTTTTGCTTGTCTTCTTCTTCTTGCGAACATAGTGGAACACTTGTATCTCCTTATTTGAAGCTCCCTTCAAAATAAAATCACTAATTGGTACTCACCACGAGTTGCTCCCCTTTGTTTCCCCTGGCGGGAAAGGTGTCGCCACCCTCTGGCCATGTGCTCCACTCTCTCCTGATTTAGCGAGCCCAACACTTGAATTTACAGGGAAATCCAAAGTGTTATGTGTGGGGAGGATGGGAGGGCTAACCTCATGAGTCAGGATAAGTATAAAATATCAATTTTACTCTAAAATTACATATTTTTCCTTATCCTGACTCATGCTCTTTTGTTTGTAGCATCCTCTGAACGGAGGTGGGTAACAGAATACTTTGGATTTATAATTAGTGATTTTGTATAGATATACTGTAATATCCCTATGGGAACTTCATGAAGGCTTAGATTTAGGATGTTTCCTGTATAAAGAAAATCATAGGTTATATAAAGCCATTAAAGGGGAAATACATTATGAATATATTGAACAATACATATAAATTATATATATATATATAGGTGACTCTGATAGAGGCACTGAACTTGACTATACCAAAGTATATGCTTAAGGTTGAATACTTAAGCTGAACATATATACATAGCCCTAAAACTCCGTAGAGAGTTATAAGCTAGATGAGTATGTATAAAATACATATTAATCTTGTGAGGATAATATTTTAGCGCCCACGAGGGACTGTCAGTTGCTGGCGAGGACCAGTGGTCCGAAATGGTGAATGCCAGAGACATCTTCTGTAGTGATGTCTCTCAGGTAGTGATTAGCAAATACCATGTTAGATTTCCAATAGCATCCTTCCATAATCGCGTGTTCAAGGAACAGTTACCGTGTAGAGGGGTAGAGGCCAGTACCCTGATCTCATGTGGATTTGATGCTGTTGGTGGGTCCAAGCCTGCTGCCTTGTAGCACGGAGAATGACAGTCCTTATCCAAATAGATATTGTGGTCCGTGACACTTCTGTTTGATTAAGTGGCGATAAGGGGATGAATAAGCGTTTGAGAAATCTTCTCCTTGTTTTGGATCGTCGTAAATAAACTTTGAGCTCTTACGGACACAGTGATAGGTCTTGTGTATCTTGTGATCGAGAATAGAGGATAGCGCCGGGATGTGGAATAATCTGTCTGGTTGACCTGGCAGTTGATTTTTCGCGATGAAATCCCATCTTAATCCGAGAGTGCGCTGTGTTATGATTGTCATCAAACTGTATCCTCTCGTAATCCAGAGCGTGAATTTCAGACATTCTTGCTGCTGTGGCTAGCGATAGCAGAAACAGTGTTTTCTGTGAGAGAAATTCAAAGTTTGTCGATTCCAAAGGTTCATAGACCTCACTAGGTGAGGTGTTGTAACACTACATTCAGATCCCAAGCTGGGCGTGGAACTTCCGCTTTGGTCCTCAATGGGAAAGCTCGTAGTAAGGCCAGTAACTCTGGAGATCTTGTCAATTTGACACCCGTTCTCATGGTGATTACAGAACTAAGCGCGGCAAGATATGTTGATATCGTTGAACCTTTTAAATGTTTGTTTGGCGTAGGTAACACAAATAGTCTGCCACTTGAGGTTGTGAAGCCTCTCTTGCTGTAAACCCTTTCTTTGTTGCATAATTTTCGAAACTGTGCCACTTGTCGTCGTACAAGTTCACGAGTTGAGTAACGTAAAACAAGCGTGACTGCTTTTGCCGCCCTGGCAGAATATCCTCTCTTGTTTAAACATATTTGTATACAGTCCATACGTGTAGTTGGAACATTGCTGGGTTTCCGTGCACTTGTTTGGTGTGAGGATGAATTAACAGGTTTGGCGGCTTGGGTAGCTCCAGTGTTGGTTGACCGATTTCTTGAATTAGTATGGGAAACCACGTTCTGGCCGACCAGTAGAAGCGACCAAAGTGAGTTGTAGGCTCTGTGTTTGTCTGATTTTCTGTAATACTTGAGGTATTATTGCTGGCGGCGGAAAGCTTGCGACGCGCGCATTGAGGCCTTCCCATGATAGACTTAAGCGTCCGTTGCCCAAGCTTGGGGGTCTGGGACTGGTGACACGAATGTCGGTAGCTGATTGTTGAATCGGCGTGGCGAATAGGTCTATTAGCGGCTCCTAATTGCTTGATTATCTGTGCAAAAATTTCCCTGTTGATCATCCACTCTGTCGGTGATGGTAGATGAGGCCGAGAAGCGTCTGCTAGTATATTTCTGGCTCGGGAATGTGCACTGCTCTGACATGTAGATTTAGATCTTGTATTAAATCGAACAGTTGAAAGCTTAGGTTCAAAAGGTTCATCGATCTCGTTGAGCCTTGCTTGTTTATGTAGAACGCCACTGTCGAATTGTCTGTATGGATCATTAGGGCGCATTTTGTAGAAATGTGCTCCAATGTAGAATGGCGTTGATTACAGCTTTCATTTCTAGACTGTTTATATGGAGTTTGCATTCTTGCTGATTCCATAATCCTGATATCGTGTGGTTGGTGAGATGAGCTCCCCAACCTTGGAGTGACAGCGTCTACATACAGATGGGTTTTGTATTCCTGCTCTGCTAAACAAATCCTTCGCAGACATTCGATTCTTGGTCCACCATAGTAGATGCGGTCTGAGATGTTTGGTAGACTGAATGGTTGTACATCGTTGAGATGTCGTTGATGAGGACCTGTAGGGGCGTAACTGTAATCTGCCTGTGACAGTCATGTCTTGGGCTGATGTGAGAAGACCTAGTAGGCTCTGCCATTGTCGCAGTGGTAGCGGAGAGAGTAGAGCTGGTGGAATGGTCTGCTGTATCTTGAGCCAACGGTCTTCTGGTACCATAATACGGTTGCGATTTGTGATGAATCGAATACCTAGGAACTGCAGGTCTTGCCGCGATGGTACTAGGTCCGACTTTGCGTAAGTTTACTAACCATCCTAGTTGTGTTAGTAGCTTTATGATGTAATTTAACTGTAGTTTGAGACGCGCAGTGGATCTTGATCTACTTGTATCCCGTCGTCGAGGTAAAAGCGCTCGCGTAGCCCTTGGACGATGTAGAAATTTGATGTCGGTTTAGTTATCCTCGCATTGAATAGCCAGGGGGCTGATGATATTCGAATGGGAGTACTTTCCACTGGTAATGTAGCCCTTCTAGAGTAAATCGTAGGTATTTCCTGGAATCGGGATGAATGGGGATGTGCAGGTAGGCATCCTGTAGATCTATGCTGCCCATGTAGTCCATAGGGCCGAATCATCTGGCGTAACTGAGGTAAATGTATCATGCGAAACTTTGGTGGTTTCGTGAGATAGTTCTTGTTGAAAAAGCTCATGTTGTAGATGAGTCTGTATTTCTCCGTGGAGTTTTCTTGGGAACTAGGAAAACTGGGGAGTAGAAACCTGGTTCGGCGTTTGCTTGATCTATTACTTCTATGGCCTGTTTGGATAGGAGTGATGAAACAGCCTCTCTTATCTTTGGTAGTTGTTGCGCTTGTAATGTCGAACCTGGGGGTTTGATTGTCAGCGGAGGCTTAGCCTGTAGGGGATCTGAAATCCGTGTTGAAGAATGTTGGAGCGTAAGGGTCTTGCAATATTCCCCAGTTTTCCCAGTGTAGTTGGAGGCGTCCACCCACTTGAGCTGGCTGTACTGGAACGCTGGGGTGGAAGACTCCAGTGGTTCGAACCTGTGTTTCAGCGTCTATAATTGCGGGAACCTCTGGGTGTCCTGCCTCTTCCTGATCCTCCTCTATAGTTGCCATATGGCCGGCGAAAGAATCTTTACCTCTAGAGCTGGCTATCTTCCTGTCTCTTGCTCTTTGTAGGCCCGTGAACTTAGATCTGCCTGAGTATCTTTGTGAAGTCTGACGAATGGCGCTGGCTAGTGTGTCCATCGATCTAATCATAAGGACTTCCTGGAATCGCTTTAGAGACTTCCTTGGCGACTTTGTGATTTCTCCGTCAAAGATGGATGTTGTGCGACCACGGGGCTGTATAAAGTGGGGCTGTAAAGTTCTCCCCAATTACAGGGAGGCGAGGAGGCCTTGACGACGAGCTAAGGTCAGTGCTGCTGAAACAGATGTAAGATGATCCGTTAAAACTGCTGATCTTTCTTTTGCATAAGTAAGGCAGAATAAATCATTCTATCATCTTCCGTCGTGGAATCCCGGAATCTAGTAATAAGAGTCTCATTGATCGTCCTAGATCTATTTAACCCAAAGAACATACGTCTCGTCATGGTTTCTATATGAGCCAACTTGCGATCATCCATCTTGTAAATCTTGTTCTTGACATCGCTGATGATCTTATAGTTCTCATCGATGTCCTGGGCCTTGTAGAAGGAGTCCATGTTATGCGTGGAGAACTTCTTGGCTTGAAAGTTGGGCAGATGTGGTGTTTGAACTTTCGTAGCTTTCTGGAAAGCTGCATCTAGATTCTGTGGCACTGCCAATCTGGCCGGTCGATCGGGGTAGAGTGATTGCATCTAGATCATCTTCCTTCATCAAATACGCCTGGCTGTATTGCCACTTTTAGATGGTGATGTGAGATCTAGGTTATTGACCATCCAATACCGTATCTCTGCATCAGAAAATATGATTCCTCCATCATCCTCAAAACCATCATCATTAACAAATTGTAGATGCTCTTGGGACTACGCGTGTAGCTGTCTGTATATCTGATGAGGTTTGTGGCGATCTAGTTGACTTGTGTGCCGCTCTATGTGGAGATCTGACGGGTGATCGACCTGGTGATGGCGAAGTGGAGATCGTCTATGGGATGATCTTCGGAGACTTGTGAGGTGAATGTTGATAGCTTCGTGAAGCTCTTGGCAGTCCCTCGATGTTCTTCTAGATGATGAGGATCTGGAATCATATGTCCTTGCGATGAATGCCTTCAGCGAGAAAGCTTCATTGCGTCGGTCGGGGATCGATGATATGACCTTCGCGAAGGCCTCCGTGATGTCTGATGGTCTGAGTCCATATCTAGAGATGAAATCGAAGATGGTGATGACCTCTCCCGCCTAAGAGCGAAGGCCTTCGCGAGCTGTACATCTAGGTCGCCGTCCAAGGTGGTCTTGGGGACTTCCTTAGCGAAGGTGACATCGTCTTGGCTGCTACGTTATTGGGGGTGCCTCTGGGGTGCTGTCACGTTGGAGCCTTCGAAAACTCGGACCCTGCTTGCGCGGTTGTAGTGGTCCTCCATGATGTTCATAATCTGCCGCATCATGTCTTCTGGGATGATCTGTGACGGAAGTCGTCGGCGCTTTTCTGCGATGGGGTTCACATCAATGGCGTCTGGCGGCCGGTGTAGAGCATCAGGCTGCATGGTGATCTCTGCAGAAGTCACAGTCGCTGACACCGGTCGCTTCTTCTGCGTAAGAAGGGGATGATTATCGGCTGATCATCGTGAGGCCCAATTCTGCTGCTGGAACGATCTCGGCTGAGAAAGTTCTTGCTGTCTTCGTAGATTTCCCTTTGAAGTCTGCGCTGCCCTGGGTGTCCTCAATCTGCGTTGAGACGCACGATGAGGCCCTCTTAGACTTGGTCTGCAATGGCGGGATGTCTGGGGAGGCCCGGTGCGTTTCGAGGTAACGGACTGCGTCCCCCGTTCCTCTACCGAAGGGTCTCTAGCAGAACACCAGGCGGAGAGGGTCGTCGCTAGCAGCTGACTGGATGGAATATCTGGACTCTCTGCCATGTTTTGCCCTTGTTGCGTGATCTATCTGCATGCGTCTTAAGACATAAAGATGATATTTATTAAATGCAGAATGAGATAAATTAATGCAGTAACTGCAACGTGAATTAAACGCACGCAGTAGAACAACTAGGGCATATTACATGTGGATCGGAGGCAGAAAAACGTAATCTACAAATCAGTACAGATTTCATCAGCGTAAAGCTAGCTGAACAATCAGAATACTGCATTGAATAAACAGTAGAAATACGATAATTAATCAATACAAATAGTAAAGGATACTAGCTATACCTCTATAGAAACCTATGAGAGGTAAAAACTAAGAGATTATCAAAGGATATGGTGTGTAAGGAGACACGAGGCGCTCTCACATCCTGCTCACTGGGCGAAGAAGGAGAGAGTGAAGCACATGGCCAGAGGGTGGCGACACCTTTCCCGCCAGGGGAAACAAAGGGGAGCAACTCGTGGTGAGTACCAATTAGTGATTTTATTTTGAAGGGAGCTTCAAATAAGGAGATACAAGTGTTCCACTATGTTCGCAAGAAGAAGAAGACAAGCAAAAGAGCATGAGTCAGGATAAGGAAAAATAATATAGATCTGGCATTTCCAGTGATTTTTTAAAACATTTTGCTGAAAAGAAATGCTTGAGTCAATGGTGATTACAAAACTGTCCAACTGTTGACAGTGTACTGACAAATATGTCACTGGTTGTGTTGACAGCAACATTAGTTGACTATTCTGAAACCACAAACTCTGTCCTTGATGCTGTGAGGTGTGAGATTCCTACCTGTAGGTGTCAGTCAGTGGTGGTGTGAGATTCCTACCTGTAAGTGTCAGACAATGGTGGTGTATGTGAGATTCCTACCTGTAGGTGTCAGTCGGTGGTGGTGTGAGATTCCTACCTGTAGGTGTCAGACAATGGTGGTGTGAGATTCCTACCTGTAGGTGTCAGACAGTGGTGGTGTGAGATTCCTACCTGTAGGTGTCAGACAATGGTGGTGTGAGATTCCTACCTGTAGGTGTCAGTCAGTGGTGGTGTGAGATTCCTACCTGTAGGTGTCAGACAATGGTGGTGTATGTGAGATTCCTACCTGTAGGTGTCAGTCGGTGGTGGTGTGAGATTCCCACCTGTAGGTGTCAGACAATGGTGGTGTATGTGAGATTCCTACCTGTAGGTGTCAGTCGGTGGTGGTGTGAGATTCCCACCTGTAGGTGTCAGACAATGGTGGTGGTGTGAGATTCCTACCTGTAGGTGTCAGACAATGGTGGTGTATGTGAGATTCCTACCTGTAGGTGTCAGTCAATGGTGGTGTATAGGTGAGATTCCTACCAGACAATGGTGGTGTGTGAGATTCCTACCTGTAGGTCAGTCAGTGTCAATGGTGGTGTATGGTGAGATTCCACCCGTAGGTGGGGTGTGAGACCTGTAGGGACAATGGTGGGTATGTGAAGTTCTGTAGGTGTGAGACCTGTGTGGTGCAGTGGTGGTGTGAGATTCCCTACCTGTAGGTGTCAGACAATGGTGGTGGTGTGTATGTGAAGTTCCTACCTGTAGGTGTCAGACAATGGTGGTGTATGTGAGATTCCTACCTGTAGGTGTCAGTCAGTGGTGGTGTGAGAGTTCCTACCTGTAGGTGTCAGACAATGGTGGTGTATGTGAGATTCCTACCTGTAGGTGTCAGTCAGTGGTGGTGTGAGATTCCTACCTGTAGGTGTCAGACAATGGTGGTGTATGAGATTCCTACCTGTAGGTGTCAGTCAGTGGTGGTGTGAGATTCCTACCTGTAGGTGTCAGACAATGGTGGTGTATGTGAGATTCCTACCTGTAGGTGTCAGACAGTGGTGTATGTGAGATTCCTACCTGTAGGTGTCAGTCAATGGTGGTGTATGTGAAGTTCCTACCTGTAGGTGGTGTCAGACAGGTGTCAGTGGTGTATGTGAGATTCCTACCTGTAGGTGTCAGACAAATGGTGTGTGTGTGAGATTCCTACCTGTAGGTGTGAGATTCACCCAGGTGTCAGTGGTGTATGTGTGAGATTCCTACCTGTAGGTGTCAGACAAATGGTGGTGTATGTAGAGTTCCTATGGTGGTGTAGTGAATTCCTACCTGTAGGTGTCAAATGATGGTGTATGTGAAGTTCCTACCGTGACAATGGTGTAGGTGTCAGACAATGATGGTGTGTGTGAAGTTCCTACCTGTAGGTGTCAGACAATGGTGGTGTATGTGAAGTTCCTACCTGTAGGTGTCAGACAATGGTGGTGTATGTGAAGTTCCTACCTGTAGGTGTCAGACAATGATGGTGTATGTGAAGTTCCTACCTGTAGGTGTCAGACAGTGGTGTATGTGAAGTTCCTACCTGTAGGTGTCAGACAATGATGGTGTATGTGAAGTTCCTACCTGTAGGTGTCAGACAATGGTGGTGTGTGAGATTCCTACCTGTAGGTGTCAGACAATGATGGTGTATGTAGAGTTCCTACCTGTAGGTGTCAGACAATGATGGTGTATGTGAAGTTCCTACCTGTAGGTGTCAGACAATGGTGGTGTATGTGAAGTTCCTACCTGTAGGTGTCAGACAATGGTGGTGTATGTGAAGTTCCTACCTGTAGGTGTCAGACAATGGTGGTGTATGTGAAGTTCCTACCTGTAGGTGTCAGACAATGGTGGTGTATGTAGAGTTCCTACCTGTAGGTGTCAGACAATGATGGTGTATGTGAAGTTTCTACCTGTAGGTGTCAGACAGTGGTGGTGTATGTGAAGTTCCTACCTGTAGGTGTCAGACAATGGTGGTGTATGTGAGATTCCTACCTGTAGGTGTCAGACAATGGTGGTGTATGTCAAGTTCCTACCTGTAGGTGTCAGACAATGGTGGTGTATGTGAGATTCCTACCTGTAGGTGTCAGACAATGGTGGTGGTGTGAGATTCCTACCTGTAGGTGTCAGACAGTGGTGGTGTATGTGAAGCTCATACCTGTAGGTGTCAGACAGTGGTGGTGTATGTGAAGTTCCTACCTGTAGGTGTCAGACAATGGTGGTGTATGTGAAGTTCCTACCTGTAGGTGTCAGACAGTGGTGGTGTATGTGAAGTTCCTACCTGTAGGTGTCAGACAGTGGTGGTGTATGTGAATTCCTACCTGTAGGTGTCAGTCAGTGGTGGTGTGAGATTCCTACCTGTAGGTGTCAGTCAGTAGGTGTGACAGTGGTGGTGAGATTCCTACCAGTGGTAGGTGTCAGACAGTGTAGGTGTCAGACAGTGGTGGTGTATGTGAAGTTCCTACCTGTAATGTTGCCCCAACCCAGAAGGAGTAACACGTGTCAACTGGTTTGTTTGGTCGTCCTTGGAAACCAGTCTGCTGTCTACTGATGCACCATCGTTTTAACCTTGATACTTGCTTAGGTGTGAAAGAACTTTGAAGCTTGTCCATGAGAACTAGCGATGCAAGGCCACAGAACGTGGGGCCCCCTGCAAGAGAGACAGAGATTTGGCATACAGTTAAACTACAGAAGAACACAACATTCAGTCTGGCTTCACACGTATTGTACGTATGGTAAGTGATGATGAGACAGATTACAATCGGGCATGTTCATGTTTTTAATCAATAGCTTTTATTTCACATTCAACGTCAACTGGAAGAAAATATCAGGACAATATAGTTGGCAATCAGCTAATGTACTGGAAAATAAACTGATCGAAATAACTGCTTAAAGACACAGGCAAACTGTGAAGCCTGCACCATCTTAAAATGTAGCCTTTCAGTGAACTGTTTCAGATCATGGAGAAAACAGTGGAACTTACCATGGGCCTCAGCATCTGGGCCCTGGGCGATGCCCCCCTCGTACGACTGAAGCAGAGAGAGCATCAAGTATCAGTCACCGGACCAATGGCTGTCTGGTCAATAACAGTCAATCGCACCCAGGAGAGACAGGACATTTGTATTTCAAAAATACACCTTAAAAGTGATCACTATATTACATGATAAAAGTGTTCATTATAATTTACAGTGCCCATGTTCACTATAATGTACAGTAGAAGTACTGTACATTATAGTGAACACTTGTACTGTACATTATGGTGAACACTTGTACTGTACATTATAGTGAACACTTGTACTGTACATTATGGTGAACACTTGTAGTACTGTACATTATAGTGAACACTTGTCCTGTACATTATGGTGAACACTTGTAGTACTGTACATAATGGTGAACACTTGTACTGTACATGTTGACAGACAACTGGCATGAACTGAGTGAAGAGCCACAGTCAGCAATAGTCCAGCCACATCCAGGCCTGAACACTGTCACATGAGGAGCAACCCCAGTCTGCCACAGCATTGGTGCATACAGCTGTAATAGTATGGTGTACTATAATTGTCATCGTGTGGAGCGTGAAAAAAGAACGTCGCATAAAAAAGACTACATTGCCGACAACCACGCCGCGGTAACGACGCTCAGAAATACACAAGAATGATCTACTACAAAAATGTAATTTCTTTTGGAGTAAAATTGATATTTTATACTTATCCTGACTCATGCTCTTTTGCTTGTCTTCTTCTTCTTGCGAACATAGTGGAACACTTGTATCTCCTTATTTGAAGCTCCCTTCAAAATAAAATCACTAATTGGTACTCACCACGAAGTTGCTCCCCTTTGTTTCCCCTGGCGGAAAGGTGTCGCCACCCTCTGGCCATGTGCTCCTCTCTCCTGATTTTATGCGAGCCCAACACTTGAATCTTACAGGGAAATCCAAAGTGTTATGTGGGGAGGATGGGAGGGCTAATTTCATGAGTCAGGATAAGTATAAAATATCAATTTTACCTCCAAAAATTACATATTTTCCTTATCCTGACGATGCTCTTTTGTTTGTAGCATCCCTACGGACACGGAGGTGGGAGTAACAGAATACTTTGGATTTATAATTAGTGATTTTGTATAGATATACTGTAATATCCCTCACGGAACTTCATGAAGGCTTAGACTTAGGATGTTTGCTGTATTAAAAACATAGGTTACATAATGCCATTAAAGGGAATTACATTATTAATATATTGAACAATACATATAATATATATATATATAAGTGACTCTGATAGAGGCACTGAAACTGAACATATCATGGTATAAGCTTAAGGCTGAATAACTTAAGCTGAACATATATACATAGCCCCTAAACCTCGTGAGAGTTATAAGCTAGATAAGCATGTATATAATACATATTAATCTTGTGAGGGTAATATTTAACGCCACGAGGAACCGTCAGTTGCTGAGAGCGAGTGACCAGTGGTCCGAAATGGTGAATGCCAGAGACATCTTCTGTAGTGATGTCTCTCAGGTAGTGATTAGCAAATACCATGTTAGATTTCCAATAGCATCCTTCCATAATCGTGTTCAAGGAACAGTTGCCGTGAAGGGCTTAGGGTGGAGGCCAATGCCCTGATCTCATGTGGATTTGATGCTGTTGGTGGGTCCAAGCCTGCTGCCTTGTAGGCACGGAGAATGACAGTCCTTATCCAAATAGATATTGTGGTCCGTGACACTTCTGTTTGATTTGTAGGCTTATAAGGGATGAATAAACGCTTGAGAAATCTTCTCCTTGTTTTGGATCGTCAGAATAAACTTTGAGCCTTTTACTGGACACAGTGATAAGTCTTGTGTATCTTGTGATCCGAGAATAGAGGATAGCTACGGATGTGGAATAACCTGTCTGGTTGACCTGGCAGTTGATTTTTAGCGATGAAATCCCATCTTAGTCCGAGGTGCTGTGTTATGATTGTCATCAAACTGTATCCTCTCGTAATCTAGAGCGTGAATTTCAGACATTCTTGCTGCCGTGGCTAGAGATAGCAGAAAAAGTGTTTTCTGTGAGAGAAATTCAAAAGTTGTCGCATTCCAAAGGTTCATAAACCTCACTCGTGAGGTGTTGTAACACTATATTCAGATCCCAAGCTGGGGCGTGGAACTTCCGCTTTGGTCCTCCAATCGGAATGCTCAGAGTAAGGCCAGTAACTCTGGAGATCTTGTCAACTTGACACCCGCTCTCATGGTGATTACAGAACTAAGCTGCCGCAAGATATGTTGATATCGCTTGAACCTTTTAAATGTTTGTTTTGGCGCAGGTAACACAAATAGTCTGCCACTTGAGGCTGTGAAGCCTCTCTCGCTGTAAAACCTTTCTTTGCTGCATAATTTTCAAACTGTGCCACTTTGTCGCCGCATTACAAGTTACGAGTTGAGTAACGTAAGGCAAGCGTTGACTGCTTTTGCCGCCCTGGCAGAATATCCTCTTGTTTAAACACATTTGTATACAGTCCATACGTAGTTGGAACATTGCTGGGTTTCCGCAGCACTTGTTGGTGTGAGGATGAATTAACAGGTTTGCGCGGCTTGGGTAGCTCCAGTGCTGGTTGACCCGATTTCTTGAATTAGTATGGGAAACCACGCTCTGGCCGGCGCAGTAGGGCGACCAAAGTGAGTTGTAGGCTCTGTGTTTGTCTGATTTTCTGTAATACTTGAGGTATTATTGCTGGCGGCGAAACGCCGCACGCATTGAGGCCTTCCCATGATAGACTTAGAGCGTCCGCTGCCCAAGCTTGAGGGTCTGGGACTGGTGACACTAATGTCGGTAGCTGATTGTTGAATCGCTGGCTTAAAAGGTCTATTAGCGGGCGCCCTAATTGCTTGATTATCTGTGCAAATATTTCCCTGTTGATCATCCACTCTGTCGGTGATGGTAGATGAGGCAGAGAGAGCCGCCTGCTAGTATATTTCTGGCCCGGAGAATGTGAACTGCTCTGGACATGTAGATTTAGATCTTGTATTAAATCAACAGTTGAAAGCTTAGGTTCAAAAGGTTCAGCTTATCTCGTTGAGCCTTGCTTGTTTATGTAGAACGCCACTGTCGAATTGTCTGTATGGATCATTAGTGCGCATTTTGTAGAAATGTGCTCCAATGTAGAATGGCGCTGATTACAGCTTTCATTTCTAGACTGTTTATATGGAGTTTGCATTCTTGCTGATTCCATAATCCTGATATCGTGTGGTTGGTGAGATGAGCTCCCCAACCTTGGAGTGACGCTGCCTACATATAGATGGGTTTTGAATTCCTGCTCTGCTAAACAAATCCCTTCGCAGACATTCGATTTCTTGGTCCACCATAGGAGATCGCGGTCTGAGATGTTTCCGTAGACTGAATGGTTGTACATCGCTGAGATGTGCGCTGATGAGGACCTGTAGGGGTCAGAATGTAATCTGCCTGTGACAGTCATGTCTTGGGCTGATGTGAGAAGACCTAGTAGGCTCTGCCATTGTCGAAAGTGGTAACGGAGAGAGTAGAGCTGGTGGAATGGTCTGTTGTATCTTGAGCCAACGGGTCTTCTGGTACAACGATACGGGTTGCGATTTGTGATGAATCGAATACCTAGGAACTGCAGGTCTTGGCGATGGTACTAGGTCCGACTTTATGTAAGTTTACTAACCATCCTAGTTGTGTTAGTAGCTTTATGATGTAATTTAACTGTAGTTTGAGATGCTGTGGATCGCCGAGGTAAACGACGCTTTCGCGTAGCCCTTTGACGCATGTAGAAAAGATGATAATCGGTTTCGCTATCCTCGTGAATAGCCAGGGGGCTGATGATATTCAATGGGAATTACTTTCCACTGGTAATGTAGCCCTTCTAGAGTAAACCGTAGGTATTTCCTGGAATCGGGATGAATGGGGATGTGCAGGTAGGCATCCTGTAGATCTATGCTGCCCATGTAGTCCATAGGACCTAATCATCTGGCTTAACCGAGGTAAATGTATCATGCTAAACTTCGGTGGTTTGTATAGATAATTTTGTTGAAAAAGCTCATGTTGTAGATGAGTCTGTATTTCTCCGTGAGTTTTTCTTGGGAACTAGGAAAAACTGGGGAGTAGAAACCTGGTTCGACGCTTTGCTTGATCTATTACTTCTATGGCCTGTTTGGATAGGAGTGATGAAACAGCCTCTCTTATCTTTGGTAGTTGTTGCTTTGTAAATCGAACTTGAGGGGTTTGATTGTCAGCGGAGGCTTGGCCTGTAGTGGGATAATGAAATCCTTGTTGAAGAATGTTGGAGACGAAGGGTCTTGCAATATTCCCCAGTTTTCCCAGTGTAGTTGGAGGCCCACCCACTTGTGCTGGCTGTACTGGAACGCTGGGGTGTAAGACTCTAGTCGTTCAACCTGTGTTTCAGCTGCCTATAGTTGTGGGGAACGCCTGGGTGTCCTGCCTCTTCCTGATCCTCCTCTATAGTTGCCATATGGCCTAATTTTAAAAGAATCTTTACCTCTAGAGCTGGCTATCTTCCTGTCTCTTGCTCTTCAGAGGGCCCGCGGAACTTAGATCTGCCTGAGTATCTTTGTGAAGTCTGACTAATGACGCTGGCTAGTGTGTCCATCGATTTAATCATAAGGACTTCCTGGAATCTTAGAGACTTCTGGCTTAGCGACTTTGTCGATTTCTCCGGCCAAAGATGGATGTTGTCGAATCACGGGCTGTATAAAGTGGGGCTGTAAAGTTCTCCCCAATTGCAGGAAGCGAGGAGGCCTTGACGACGAAGCTAAGGTCAGTGCTGCTGAAACAGATGTAAGATGATCCGTTAAAAACTGCTGATCTTTTCTTTGCATAAGTAAGGCAGAATAAATCATTCTATCATCTTCCGTCGTGGAATCCCGAATCTAGTGATAAGAGTCTCATTGATCGTCCTAGATCTATTTAACCCAAAGAACATACGCCTCGGCCATGGTTTCTATATGAGCCAACTTGCATCATCCATCTTGTAAATCTTGTTCTTGACATCGCTGATGATCTTATAGTTCTCAT